AATAATTTTTAAAAATATAGGACACAGACACGGCGTGGATAGATGTCTCTTTTGAACTTTCACCTAATTCACCCCCCGCCAGTAGCATAGCTCATTTTGCTAATAAACCAATCATACATATGAGTACACCAAATTAAATTGATATGAAGTGAAATCAAAATATTCCAATAATAAGACAACATGAATACAACAATATACCAGTCTGCCAGGGGTCCAAGGGAGCGCTGCCCCCTGGCGGGGTTCGACCTACCCGGTTAGGTCGCGGGGTTTCCGGGGGCAGCGCCCCCGGAACAAAATTTTATTGTAAGAGTAATTTTGAAGTTCTGCTTATTTTTAAAGTTCGTAAGTTATTTGTATGGGAAGATACCGAGTGGTACCGAGCATGTACCTAGCAGTACCGAGCATATACGTAGCAATACCGAGCATGTACCTAGTGGTACTGAGCGGTACCGAGCATGTACTGAGCGGTACCGAGCATGTACCTAGCGGTACCGAGCATGTACCTAGCGATACCTCATTTAATAACCGGACACGCGTGCCCGATTTTAATTTTAATTTTTTTAATTGCGACACTCCAATCCGTGTCGGACACGTGTCCATGCCGTGTCTGACGCGTGCCCGTGTCCGACACGTGTCCGACACTGCATACCCTCTCTAAGTGCCGTGTCGGTGCATCATAGCATGCAGATTTACATAACATTTAATATTATTTTTTTTCTATTTATATTTAATAATTATTCGAGCCGGCTCGCGAGCTAACGGGTCGATCCGGTTCAAGCTCGAAATCGAGCTCGAGCTAGACTCGTGAGCTCGATAAGCTCGGCTCGCGAGCCCATAAAAGAGTGGAGCAAGCTGGCTCGGCTTACTTACACATAAAATTATTCTGTGTGGTCACCTGACGGCTTTCGGAGGCAAATAAGAGCGCGTCACGTCACTTCTTTTGTTGTATACCGGGTGATGTGGCGCCCTCTAATTTTGCCTCCGGACGGTCTGATGACTGCACAAAATAATTTCTCTACTTTTTCATAAGTTTGTGTGTATGATGTTTGGCTTTGAGAGAAAGAAGAAGAAAACTATAGAGGAAGCTTCAACCATTCACAACTTGAGATCACCCTGATGAAAAGATAACACTTCCAATCCCTTTCTCTTGTGGCAAAAGAAAACGGAATTAGCAACTGAAACAGAAAGAAAGAATTTTGTTTAGCTTGTAATTACCGTATTAAACTAAAAGGTTAGCTAAAGGTACCTGTCTTAGTGCAAATTGACAGTTTTTTAAGAGCCAAACAAATGTTGCTTCTCGAATTTAACATCGGCTTGCATATCTTTTATGTATGTTTAAAATTACAAGTTGATCGAGTGTTAAATCAGCAGATATATAAGAGGATAGGGATGAATCTTATCATGACTTGGAACTTCTTTTTTGCCTAACCTATTATTTAATTACACACCAGCTTGATAAGTAACTGCATTTATTAAGTACTCTCCAAATTGGTTGAATATTGCATGCACGTACTTGTCTTACAGTATAGTGTAATATTTTTTGTGATTTTACAAAACTAATTCTATTTCTGTTTCTTCTATATATATTTGTATAAGCTAATAGTCGAAAATCAGTCTGAAAGCTAAGAAGTAAGACAAATGGTGTTACAGCTGGTTTGTCTTGTCTATTCTAAGATTTTGTTTGGGATGATTTTCTTACTGCTTCTTATTAAAGCAATATTTTAGTACAAAAATTTAATTTTTTGTACTAAAAGCTGTTTTAAGAAATAGTAAAAAAATTGTCTCAAATTAGATCTAAGATTATAATCATAACTATGTACATTAAATTAATTCATAGAGTAAATTAATAAGATCAACTAATTATTAGTGCTTATAATATATATTAGTAAAAGATTAAGTATGTTTCAACTAATATCAGAGGAAATTAAGAACTAAGGAAATGGTTCAGTTAAGCAGCCCAGAAAACATGCAAGTTGAAAGAGGAAATAAAAAGTTTCACCCAAGGTATAGAATCACTCATACAGGAAGATTCTCATCAATTTTATTAAACTAACAATTTTTAACTTTTTTTTGAATATAAGACAATATCCCCATCTATTTCACCATCACTCTGAACAATAGATCCAAGATACCTAAAACGTGTACTCTTATTAATGACTTGATCGCCCAAAGTCACAATCCCCTCACTAGGACTATTACTGCTAAAATTACACTCCATATATTCCGTTTTAGATCTACTCAAGCGAAAACCTTTAGACTCTAAGGTTGACCTCCATAATTCAAGTTTACCTTCAACTCCCTCTCTAGTCTTATCAACAAGAAGAATATCATCAGCAAAAAGCATACACCAAGGTACATCATCTTGCAAATGTCTAGTGAGAACATCCATGACTAAAGCAAATAGATATGGGCTTAAGGCTGATCCTTGATGTAACCCAACCGAAATAGGGAAATACTTGGTCAAACCACCTTGTGTTTGAACACAAGTAATAGCTCCTGCATACATATCTTTAATGATTTGAATATAAGCATTATTGACTCCTTTCTTATCAAGAACTCTCCATAGCACTTCTCTTGGAACTTTATCATATGCTTTTTCTAAATCAATAAATATCATATGTAGATCCTCCTTATTTCCTCTATATTTTTCCATCAAACCTCTGAATAAATGTATGGCTTCCATAGTCGACCTACCCGGCATAAATCCAAATTGATTTTGAGAAACATTAGTATCACGCCGCAACCTATGCTCTATAACTCGCTCCCATAATTTTAAAGTATGACACATTAACTTAATACCTCTATAATTCGTGCAATCCTGTGATAATATCCCCATCTATTTCACCATCACTTGTAACAAACAATAAAACAACAAATTCCAAAACAGCCCTCCCCAATTTCCTCTCAAATCAGCCCCTAAATCAGCCCTCTCTAATCAGGAAATATCTCCTAATTAATCTCCTCCAAATCTGCCCTTTTTAATTAAGAAATATTTCATAATTAATCTCCTTCAAATCAGTCCCCCAAATTAGTCTTTTTTTTAATTAGGAAATATCTCTTAATTAATCCCTTCATTAATTCCTCTCCTCATATATATAATGATAGGTAATGGGCTCCACAAGATGGGCTGAATTTCCCTCTTCCGTGTCAGTTTCTTCACTCATTCACCTATTTTTTTACAGAAACTATCCTCCTGAGAGAGGGGGTGGACAGTATAAGCAAAATTTTTGGTTGATGGATGAATCTGGGTATACGATGACATTGCTGTAGATTTAGGTGATCATTGTAGGGAAAATCCCGGAACACCATTTAGGAAGAATTCGGGAACAATTGGTTTGTTGATTTGAACTCCATGTGATAGTGCTTGTTATAGGTCACATCATCATAGGTATGTTTAAACATTTGGTCTAAACCTAAAAAAAATATAAAATAAAATAAATAAATCATCCTTAAATTATGAAATTATTAATTTTCTCATTGTAACACGTCAGATTTATGCTTGGGGCGAACGCAAACCTTAAAAATATCCATAAGAAGAGAAATAGCTTCTTCCCTGTAGCTTGGAAGTCTGGCCATCTGTTTATCATTCCATCCATTCCTATTTTGGGAGCATTGGGGTTTTTCTTCAGTTTTGTGTCCAAGTCAACTTGTTTGCAGTTTTTCTTGAAGAAGCTTTAGGCCTAATTTGATTGGACATTTTTTGTGCTTATTTCTTTTTAAAACGGTAAATTTATTCCTTCTTTATTGTTTGATTCCTCAAATCACGTTCCCAATAACACCATTTTTTTTTCATTTTTCTGTTGTTTTAATAAAGTTTTTTATATATGCTTCTCCGTTAGAAAACTACTTTCTTTGAACTGGTGTTTCTTAAAACTATTTTTTACAGAAGCACCGAATAACCAAACGAAGCCTTAGTTGAATATTCAACGTGGTTATGTTGGAGTAGTTGATGTTGTTGGTTCCTTCGTCTATTAGATATTGCGACTTCAACTTAGCTGTTCGATCTTAGAGTTGACTTGTTTGAAGCCTAAAGTCTGTAACTTTTACTTGGCCCAAATCCTGTTTTTTTTTTCTTTTCCTCCGTGATTTTATGGATGGGTCCGTTGGATATTCTGTAGTATTTTCTTGTTTGATTGGTTTTTTCTTATTTTACATAGCATTTTCCTTTAAAAGCAACCCACTGTGTTCCAGATCATTTCAGGCTCGTCTTTTTCTTCTTATATCGTTGTAAAGTTGCCTTTTTTATAGATTGGGCTTAAGCGGCGTTCTGGGGACTGGATATTAGGGAACTTGATGGGATTTGATGCAAATGCGTTGTGAGGTATGCTGTTTGATAAATGAGCAGCTCTGAAACACCAGAGGCATATTAATTTTTGTATATTATCGCTCGTAGCACTTACTATTCAAGCGCAGTATGTAAAATTATCTCTAGAATTTTTGTAAAAAAAATAAATAAATATTGTAGGTATTATAGACTTCTTATTATTGAAATAATAGTGATTTCCACGTCCTAAGGTCTGGAGTATTATCACACCATTTAAAATAAGTTTAAGGTGTCTCAATTTGGAATTTTGTGCTACTCCATTGAATTGATTCTTCATTGGCATTTATTGTTGACAGTGAGACTTAAGTATTTTATGCCTCAATTCTTAATTTTTTTTCTATTGTTGCTGCTTGTCTGATGCTGAAGTGTCTTTAGTCTTTGGGATACAAGGTTGCAAACAGGCTTTATAGATGCAAAATATAATTGTTTCTTAAATTTCTTTCAGATCCAATTCAAGATCAGAATCCTCCTCGGCTTCTGTAAGTTGTCTTTATTACCTCACCTCTGTTGTACCCTAAATGCTGTTCTCCCTCCATATTTCATGCCTTTCTTCGCGTCTTTTCATTTTGCAGCCACGAGCGAGGCACAGCCGCAGCAGAAGCAGAGGCCGAAGCCCGTCGCGTTCTCCTTCCATTGATGCATAAATAAACGGTTCGTCTTTTAGGCTTTGTTTGGGGCGGCTCTTTTATTGCTTCTTAAAGTAGCTTTTTAGTTCAAAAATTAATTTTTTTAACTAAAAAACTGCTTTATGAAGCAATAAAAAAAGCCGTGCTTCGTGAAGCAGCTTTCTAGTAAAAAAATTTTATTTTATTTACAATAAAAACGCTTTAAGAAGCATAAAGAAAGCCGTCCCAAACGAGGCCTTAATCTCAGTTTGATTCATGAAATTTAAGCTTCGTTTGGGACGACTTTCTTACTGCTTCTTAAAACAGCTTTCTAAATTTTTTGTATTAAAAATTTATTTTAATAAACACTAAGAAAACCATCTCAAACGAAGCCTTAGTAATTTATCACATTTTTGAACTGATAAATCTGTCATTTTACAGGTGAACTTTGATCGCAGCAGTGAATTGAACTTGTTGGAAGTATGCTTGTTTTCTCCAAGCAAAGAATGTAGGCTTTGTTCGGTACGGTTTTTTTCCTGCTTCTAAAAACAGTTTTTTAGTAAAAAATTAAAATTTTTGTGCTAAAAAGTTGTTTTAAGAATCAGTAAAAAAGTCATCCCAAACGAAGTCGGAGTCTTTGCCTTTCAGCTGACCTTCAAGAGAGTAGAAACTTAACAGTATTAAGCTTGATGTTTTAGTTATTTTAAGTCTATGAGTGAATACTATATACCCCTTATTTGAACATGTGAGATATTCAAACAACTCATACTTGGTTTTCTCTGTTAGATTTACTTATTGCAACACCGACATTTTCTGTGTTCTCTTCTGATTTTTTTATTTTTTATTTTTTGTTGGCATTATTGTTTATCATTGTGCTTCGTTTGGAGCAGTTTTTTAATACAAAAATTTTAAATTTTCAACAAAAAAATTACTTAAAAAAGCAGTAAGAAAGTTATCCCAACCGAAGCATCAATTTAACTTTTAGTAGATTAATGGTATAAATTTTGAGATGATTTCAATAAATTTATATGATTGGCATGCATTATAAGACAATATTTGAATGAAAATTTGTAGAACTAAATTCAGGATCATCCAATTTGATTTCAATAAATTTATAGTTCAATTGAATGTTTTAGAGGAATGAATTTATCAATGTTGCAAATTATAGTTAAATTTATTAAAATAACATTCTCAAAAAGATTATAAATATGATCTCATTCTAATATAAAATAGAGTTTAAGGGCTGATAGAATTAAAAAATTATATTATTCAACTTTTAACCTAGTTGTTGGGTTTAATTGTTCGTCATTGTACATTAGATTTCTATAATTTCCAAGGAAAATTATACAGTTATTTTAAATTATAAATAATCTCATTCTTTAGATTTCTAAAGAAGGATTTTTATAAATTTTTTAACTATCTTGAATTTTTCATATAAAAATTTTATTCTCTTATAAATTTTTCTGGACAAGTTTGTTTATTTATTCAAAGTTCATATATTAAACAACTCCACCAATGTAAATTTTTGTAGTTTTCAAAAAATTTATAATATATATATTTTTAATTTTGTACCCTCATAATTTATTGCTTATTTGAAATTAATTAAAAAAATAAATAAATTCTACTGTGAATAGGAGAATTTGATAAATGAAGCAGAATAATTATATATACATATAAACTCTCTTATTTATAACTATAAAATAATAATTATGATAAATTTTACTGATATGTTAGTAAAAAATAATTATTTTATTTATTTATATTAACATCTCTGATAAACTGTGGTTCGATAGCTTCCTTCTTCTACGATTTTACAGAGAGGAGAGCGAGGAGAGAATGGCGGCGGAGGTGCTCGCTATGTACAGAGCGCTTCTTAGGGCGACGCGGAAGACGTTCGACGGCGACGCGCTGATGCTAAGCCAGTCGGCGGTGGAGATCCGACGTAGATTTGAGGAGAATCGAGCCATCTCTTCGGAGGCGGAAGTGAAAAGGCTCGTCGACGAGGCGCGCGACGCTTCCCACTTCATCACCCATATGATCGTGCAAGCCAAGAGAAGCTCCAATGGCGGCTTCGGTAATCGGTCTTCTGCCCTAATCCTTCGCTTTCCTTGTTTACTCTATCATCACAAGGGTAGTAATCTTATGTTCTCCATTAGCTATTATTGATCGATTCTTTGATACGATGCAAGGCATAAGAATAATAGGATGGTAGAACATCGGATTTATTGATTGAATATATAAAGATGTGATCGGAGAATTGACATTGACGGTACTAAAATATTTTTTGCTAGAAAGAAAATTAAATTTCTCTTTTACAAGTATCCATGTTTTCAGTGTGGATGGCATCTTTGGTACCGTGTAATTGTGTAAAGGGCTGTGCATTTCTTGAAGTAACAAATCTTTGTTGTGATATTCCAACTAAAGCTTTTCAAAAATCATCATTTTTGGGCTGTTTGGTAGCACCCAGGATTTGATTTAATTAGGATTTCATAAATCCAGATTTCACAAATCCTGAGGGGCCTAAATCCTAAAAATTGTTTAGTAACATTCATCATAAATCTTATTAAACCCCGTGTGACTATTTGGCTATAGAATGGAATGAGCAAACTATTCCTCTCCAGCCAACAGATTTTCCGGGATTTAGCACGAAAAAGACGAAATTTTCCGTCTACGGTGGGTTTCATTTGTCGTGAGATTTGGTTTTGTATTTTAGGCCGTTTGGCTGGATTTCGCTCAAATCCACCTTAAATCCAGCCTAAATACTGCTACCAAACAGACCCTAAGGGTTTTGGATGGTGCTTGACTGCTGGTATTCTAAGCTTAAGGTGGACTTCATTAAGTGTGTTGTTTATAGAGAGATTGGCAGTTGGTGCTCAATTGAAGTAGGATTTCCTTCTGATGAAGTGCAAGTTAAAGACTTAACCTGCCAATTATCTTTTTGGCCCACAAAATATTTGATCTAATAGTCCAACGAAAGCTTTTCAAAAATCATAGTTGATCTCTTCATTTGGAGTCTTCCAATGATGTTTTGTTGATAGCAACACTGTTAAGTGTTGGATGGTGCTGGTATATTAATCATAAGGTGGACTTCATGAAGAATTGTTTGTGGAGAGATTGGTGGTGTGGGCTCATTGAAGTAGGATTTCCTTTCACTATAGCGTGAAGGCTAAGAGTTTCTCTAGCAACTATCTTTTTTACTTGCCCTTCAACTTGGTGGGTGTTACTACTGAAATTTTTGTGACTATTTTGTTTGTGCATGTCAATAAGCTGAATACAAGAAAATATTGCATCATCAAGAAATAAATGTTTATAGAATAAAATTCTTATGGAATAAAAATTAACTAAAGTAAAAGAAAAACGAGCCTAATTAAATAGAGAGAATAGAGCAGAGAATTCTAAACTAGAGGTAGACCTAAAAAGATTTGGTTAGAAAATATTAGAAATGATCTTTCTTTATTAGATTTAAATGATAATTTGACTTTTAACTGGACACAATGGAGAGAAAGGATTCATGTAGCCGGCCCCATGTAGTGTGACAAAGGCTTGATGTTGTTGTAGTATTTAAAAAAAAATGAAACTCACTTGTGAAGTACAAAATGGCTTAAAAAACAAGGAAACGAGAACAAAATCGAGCAAAGCATTGATGAAAAATGACTTGCTTTAGGGACTTTCGTCTTTTCTTTCACTAAGTTAATAGTTTATGCCTACACTTGAGTTGAGACCGACTACTCCAGCTTGGTGTCAATGATAACAATTTGCTCTTTCTTGGTTCAAAATTCAAAGAGGATCAATGGGAAAGCTTAGAGAACCATGGTTTATGGTTGGTGAATTGTACACCATCTCATAAATGAATTGTGAATAGGTGCTTGGGGTCGTCACCATAAAAAAGGATGATGAACCCTTTTTCTTTAATCAATGGTGAATACTAGAAATGGTGGGAGAAGATAGTGGAGTGATTGTATCACGAGGGGTTCTGCTAATTATTATGATGCAAGTTCTATAGGAATTTGTATTAAGGATGGAGGTTTAGTTTAGCTCGTTAAAATGGAGTACAACAAGCGTCCTTCTTGGTTGGCAATGATAACACAAGAAATTGAGGCTATGATATTACCTTGTGGGGACTTATTTCACATCAGTTGTAGATTGGATAAGACCAAAATTTGAATAGGATGGGTTTTAAGACCCTTAGGATTTATTTTGAGAAGGGTGTAATATTAGAGTTGATTGATTATCTTTTATGTTGAACTCATCTCAAATCAAATCCTAGGGTCTAAAACCCATTTCAACAAAGTTTAGTCTGGATATTCTGACCTAGTTTTTTCTCCTGACAGTCTTAAAAGTTTTCAATGTTCTGCCTTAAAGGTGTGTCTGGATGCTAGGAATTTAGCAAATGGAAATGAAAATTTGATTGAAATGCGCAATGGTTGCAGATTAAGAAATCATAATCAACCATAAGTTATTTGGATTTCATTTCATTTCCTCTTGCCATAATCCAAGCAAAGTCCAAGTCTTTATCATGATGCAGCTGTACTGAGATGGCAAGGTAATCTTGCCAGTCTTCTTTGCTGATTGATAGGAATTTTATTTTGTGCAGAGTCCGGAGCGTCCAGAGACCAATAAAAATACGCTACGTCACCTCAAAAATGTACCGCACTCGGTACCGATCTCGGTACCTGTGCTCGGTACGGGGCACGTAACTGGACGGGAGAACCGTCCGGTGTCCACACAAAATAATAGCTCGATTGATAGGGTTCATAAACCTATGAGTCCCCTTCTTTTCTTATTATATGCTTAAATTAACTTTGATGAGTAAAGTTTGTCCCAACTTCATTAATTTTTATAGCTAATACTGGCACTAGTCTGCTGAATCATTTTAGGTGTTACTATTTGCGATTGTAGTCTATATTTCATGTCACCATGCAACTGGTTTTTGTAAACTTTACATATTTTTCTCAAGTAGTTTCACTTTATCAGTATTTGCATCCTTACAGCAAAACTCCTCATTTTGGTGCTTCAAATCAGGACATATATTCTGAAAGAAGATGAAATTTATTAGATTCATTGTTTTGTTCTTCAAACTTCCTCAAAACTCCTCAAAAACAACTTCATTTGCACAAACAAATTGAGTGATAATAAAATTTGCATTTTTTTTTAACTTGTTATTCATCTTTTCTTATGTTGTTCTCTTAAAACAAATGTTTTGCAGTAGTGAAACCTGGTAAAGATCATGCTGGCGCAACCTTAGAGATTCCTTCCGAATAGATTAACCCCAAGTGATCCAGAGGAACTTAGAATTTGGTAGCTCTACATAACTGGCAATCTTCCAAGGTTTCAGATTTAGGCTTCGTTTGGGACGGCTTTCTTACTGCTTCTTACAGCAGTTTTTTAGTACAAAAATTTTAATTTTTGGGCTTCGTTCGGGATGACTTTCATATTGTTTTTTAAAGCAATTTTTTATCACAAAAGTTTTTTAAATTAGTTTAAATTAGAAATTTTTTTACTAAAAAGCTGCTTCATAAAGCATTAAGAAAGCTGCCCCGAAGCCTTAGAAATCTTGATTTTGGGACTGTGATTCAACAGAATTGAGTAATCTGGAACTCCCCTTGTGCCTTTCAAGATCAAATCCTGTATAATTTTCTATGCTGATCAATTTTGTAAGTTATATTAAGCATTATAACACAATCTTTTTTAGATATATAGACTGTTTATTATCTCAGTAGAGTAATGAATTGTTAATGTAAATTCAGGCTATGTGCCAAAGATGGAGTATCAGGACATCATATCCAAGAAATTAAGGCTTTGTTTGGGACGGTTTTTTTATTGCTTCTTGAAGCAACTTTTTAGTATACAAATTCTAATTTTGTACTAGAAAGCTGCTTTAAGAAGCAACAAAAAAGCCGTCCCAAACGAAGCCTAAACCTATATTCTTTGATTGAAGGACCAAAGTGATTATTTGGCTATTGATTCAGCCAGCTTGGCTTGATTTAGGCTTAGACGGTTTTTTATTGTTTTTTAGAATAACTTTTAAAGTATAAAAATTAAATTTTATACTAAAAAGTTATTTTAAAAAGTTATAAAAAATACTTCTCAATTTAATCTTTGATCATTGAACTAAAAATTTAGCATTGATGATCATCTACATAAACAATAAAAATTCCACTCTGTTGTGCAATCAATGTTGTTATTTTTTTCTAATTCAAGATTATATCATTATTTTTTATTAAAAACAAAAATTTTAATGTTTATTTAATCTTATTAAGTTTCATAGAAAAAAATAGTTATGAGACATTATTAGAAACTAATTTAAGGAGTCTAGTTCAAAAAAATCTCAAAGTAATTCTTAGATTATTCATGTATTATCAATTTAATCAAGAATATCATGTTATCCTAATTTAATTCTCTAATTATACAAAAGTAATTTAAATTAATTCTTCATGCTTTAATAGCAACATAAAATTAATCTCAAATTAATTAAAAAGAATTACTTAAGATCAATTTTATATAAGAATGAATAGCTCCAATCATAAACGTGTTTTTTTTTTTTTTGACATTCAAGTCAATTAAGACAAACTCATAAATCATATAAGCGATCTTCAAATCAGAATACGTCATGTCAGCGTAGAACGCCGCCCAAAGATAAACCAGAATGCGTCATGTCAGCGGTATGGAGCCATAGTAACAAGCAGTACCGAGCAATGGGTAACGTGACGCATTCTGGTTGATCTTCGAACCACATTCGACATCCTCACAAAATAATTAATTCAAATCCATAATCTCTTAATTGAAAGTTAAAATTCTAAACCAACAGATTAAGATGAGCTGCGTGACAATACAATAGCAATACATAAAAGTTTTCTCAAAGTTGGAACCATCAAGAACTCAACAGAGAGTCAAAAAAACATACACTAATACGAAAGCAATACAAAAAAGTTTATAAAGATTTATTAGGTTTCGTTTGGGACGGTTTTCTTACTGCTTCTTAAAGCAGCTTTTTAGTAAAAAAAAAATTATTTTTTGCAAAAAAACTATTTTTAGAAGCAATAATAAAGTCGTCCCAAACAAAGCCTTAAATTGAGTCCTAAGATTCATTCATTGAAAGAAATATATAAAAAAAAAATAGCTCACCTCTTCCTCTTCTTACTTCCCCTAAGATCACTCTTGTTGAAGACACTTAAATCATTGGTAGTCTCTGCAGTATTTTTCTTCTTCATCCCCTTTCTTCCGCCATGGCCGAACTTGCTTTCCCTGAAGGTCCTTCTCTTGTTCTTCTCCTTTGCTTTAAAACCACCAGATCTATCACCGGGAGTCACTCCAGGCCTCTTCTTATTCGATCTCTGGAAACTATTCGCTCCATCTCCAAAATCCATTTCTTCGGCCTTACTATTTCTTGCAAAACCGCTCTGTTGCCGCTGCTTCCGCCATTTTTTAACAGAATCGATCTCTTCTTTCTTGCGCTTGGCCTTCTCCTTCAGCTTGTGGGCCTGTACCTCCTTCGCTCTCTTCTTCGACTCCCTCGCCTTCTTCCTCTCCTCGGCCTCCTCCATCTTCTTCTTCTCCACCAAGAGCCTGCTTTTGATCTTCAGCATATGGTTGTCTGATTTCACCATCTCGGCGTAGAAATCTGGAGGTCGGAGGAACGGGATGCCCATAGACTGCAATTTCTCGAAGGCGTTTCTGGCGCCATTGACGGCCTGGTTATAGAATGCGAGCTCGCGAGTCAGATCGTCATTCACATCGATCTCTTCTGCTTGATCGTAAACGATAGTCAGTTTATGGATCCATTCGAGATCCTTCGGCCAGGCTATTTCTTCAAGCTTTTCAAGGAGGCCTTCCCTATTGTACACAGCATCTTTTGAAGGTTCCGACAATGGTATCTCTTCAGATCCCGACCCAGAATCCATTTCTTCATCATCAATATCATCTTCCTCCATTGTTTCCTTTGTCAATAAATATTTTTGCTCTGTAAGGCCATTCATTCTGGATTGAAGAAACACTGCATAAACAATAAGACAATCTATAATTTTCTCATTGAAGAAGTTTGAAGAAATAAACTCTTAGGAAATTAAAAATAATACCATCTAGAATTCTTATAGATTATCCTAAAACATTTATCAAATAAGCTAATTACAATCTACATTTCCCAATCTTTGTATATCTAACTGCATTAATTCATTTAAAGGTTCAGCTCACTCCCATCTTTCATAATCCTAAGATTTTTTTTTACCATTTATATAGCTTATTAACGGTCAAAATGCTTCTCCAGAAAAAAGTATAGATTTTGATGGCTCCCTCCCATTCCACTTTCATTTTATACTTCTTTGTTATTCTAATGCAATATAGCTTGAGGTGTAGTTTTTCATATCACCTACAATTAATTAAAACAACAACATTAAGCCTTTGTCCCACTACGTGGGGTCGGCTACATGAATCCTTCTTAGTCATTGTGTCCTATTAAAAAAGCCAAATTCTCATTTATATCTAATAAAGAAATATCATTTCTAATATTTTCTAACCAAATCTTTTTAGGTCTACCTCTATCTTTCTTAACATAAGTCAAATCTAATTCCTCAACTTTTCTAACCGGGTCATCGGAAGGCCTCCGTATAATGTGACCAAACCATCTAAGGCGACTCTCTCCAATCTTATCTTCCACTGGAGCTACTCCAACCTTTTCACGTATATGAGCATTTCGTATGATATCTCTAAGTGTAAAACCACTCAACCACCTAAGCATCCTCATCTCTACAACACTTAGTATTATGTTTTTCTTTTAATGGCCAACATTCAGTACCATAAAGCATTGCAGGTCTCACCACCATCTTCTAGAATTTTCCCTCAAGTTTGAGGAGGACTTTTCTATCGCACAACAAGCCCGATGCATTCCTCCACTTCAAACATCCAACTTGAATTCTTCTAATAATATCCCCATCTATTTCACCATCACTCTAAACAATAGATCCAAGATATCTAAAACATGTACTTTTATTAATGACTTGATCGCCCAAAGTCACACACAATCCGCTCACTAAGTCTACTGCTACTAAAATTACGTGCCATATATTCAGTTTTAGATCTACTCAAGCGAAAACATTTAGACTCTACGGTTGACCTCCATAATTCAAGTTTACCTTCAACTCCCTCTCTAGTCTTATCAACAAGTTATCAGCAAAAAGCATACACCAAGATACATCCTCTTGCAAATGTCTAGTGAGAACATCCATGACTAAAGCAAAAAGATATGGACTTAAGCCTGATCCTACAATTAATCAATGGACGAAAAAATAAAAAACAAAAAACACATCAGGGAACTTAACTCGGAAATAACCCACCCAAAGTTATAGCAAGGCCATCATTTCATTTTATAAGATCTACTTTTACAAAAGGTTCAGGCAAATGATTGCCGTCAATGCCTTCTCTCTATATCTTTTTAAATCCCTCATCTCTTCCTCTGTTTCAAAAGGCCAGGACATACACCTTCACAAGTCCCTCCTTGATCTAAATCTTTTTTCTTCCCGAAACCTCATTAATCCCAACATCTAGCCACAGATAATGACTCTAAACATCCTCGCTAGTCTTAGAGATCAGAAACAACAGGAAATTTTGATAACTCGCCACCCACTCTATTATAAGAAGTGCAAAAAATTCATATAAACCAAAATGATATCGAGAGAAAAAAATAGATGTGAAAAATGGGAGATGGAATATGGCATAAGATGTATTTGATATATAACCAAGTAAGAGATGCAAAGCATAAAGTCAGAGAAATGTCACTGCAAAGTTGGGCATCGGCAAAGTAAATCACAATATTTCTCTAACAGAAGACTATAAAGCAAGTAAATGAAAAGGATAAATGGTGCCATAGATAGCAAAAAGTATAAAACTATCTTTTCTATTCTACCCCTCATCTTCCCTTCAATAAATATAGAACAATTCCATATTAAAAACAGAAGATCCTTTGAGCGTACTAGGGTGTTTTGCTCAAGTGACAAATATTACATAAAACTATTTATATGAGTTTATTCTATTATCTCATACTGCATTTAATTTGTGGGTTAAATTTCTTATTTGAATGAACTGAAAAGAAGTCTTTTATCTAATAAAACAATATCTATATATGGATTTAATGTACACTAACAACAACGCCTTCTATTACATGGAATCGGCTACATGAATCATGTTTCTTGAGTCAAATTATTATTTGAATCTAATTAAAAAAAAAGTCATTTATAATATTTACTAAACCAAGTCTTTTTAGGTCTGCCTCTAGCTTTCTTAACATGGGCCGGACTAATAAATCCACTCTCCTAACCAGGTCATCAAAAGGCCGACATTTTATGTGATCAAACCATCTAAAGACGACTCTCCCTAATCTTATCTACCACTGGAGCTACTCCAACCTTTTAACATATATATACTCAATTTGTATTCTATCTCCAAGTGCAAAACCTATTCAACGCCTATTTCACCACTCCACACGCCACATCATCCATGGTCCATAAAATCCTAAATGACCTGCTATAGGGTGAAGGTGAGGTATTGTATGTTTCCTAATTTCAAGAATATGGCAAGATCTCTTCAAAATATGTGGCCTCTTCGTTTGTTACTTAAATTAAAGTTTCTTGTTCTTCTTTCATAATAGAGTTAAAATCTTATTCCTTCTCTTCTTCTAAGAATTATTTTTCCTTCAAAGTGCGTAGTAAGGTGGTTGTATTGCTAACTTCTTAGTTATTTTATTTGTTGGATTTGTCCATGTGTAATGCATATCATGCTATTAATTAACTTAAATATATATTATTAAATACAATTTACTCATTAATTATAATTTACACCATTAATTATATATTAATAATATATATTTAAGTTAATTAAATAGCTAATTATATTAATATTTAATTTCTAATTATTCAATTAAGTTAAATGAGATAATTAATTTATGTAGTAATTATATTATTAATTATGTAATTAATTTACTGAATTATTAATATTTTAAGTTATATTAATTTTAATCAATAATAAGTTAGAGGCGTCTAGGGTTTGCCTTTCATCTTCTCTTTTCGTCGTTGCTGTTCGGCTTCGTTGCTTCGCAGGAGGTGTAGAGATTGCAGGCGTCGCTTTTTCGGCTCTGTTCGACTTCGCTCCTTCGACAACTTTCCCTTCCTATCGGATCGGAAGCTATGACATTTTGATCGGAAGCAACAACGGGAGCTCGCTGGCTGTGAAGGTAACTTTCTACCTTTCGCGCGCTTCTTCGGCTAAATCCCATAAATCCGCCGAACCGAGGGATTTAAGCAGTAAATCCGGGATTTAAGCTGTAAATCCGTAAATCCGGGATTTAACGCGTGCACAAAAACCTTTTGGCTGGATTTAGCGTAAATCCGAACTAAATCCCATGATATATATGATGCCAAACAGGCCCTTATGCTTTTGTTTATGCAACTTTTCTCCTATTTAACATTTCAAAAACAGTTTTGGTTTCTGATTGGAAAATATTCTTAGAAAATTCTGCTTTACATCTCCTTTTTAACTTCATGAACATATGAGCTAACCCACATAACAACTGATAATCCATTATGTGTGAATGGTTATTTTATTTCATAAAGCACAACCTAAGAGCATTTGAATCAAATGCAGCCTTGAAGAACTAAATATTTTTTTCAATTAGTTTCTCTCTATATGTTTATAAGTATTCATATGCTTGTTTTATTATTTATTCATCCATATTATTTTGAAAAAGAAGAATATTGCACGTAATAATGCATATATATTTTATTCTTTTTTTATTTTACTTTCTTATAAAATAAAGCATGGAATCAGTGTGATTAGTTTTTCACGGAGATTCTAGAAATTATTTTGTTATGTCTTAACTTTTTAGCTCACTTTTAACAGATGAAGTAAATTGTTCCTAAATAAAAATTCACAGAGGATGTGGAGTGAAACGTGAATGATGGGGCAATAGATTGGCCTGACACATAAAAACACTTTCTTCTCTTGTTTTCCCCAAAACTAGCTGTTTTGCAATAGCGTAAGCTACCAAAGGGTATGCAGTTGCAACTATGTTTGAAGAGGTAGAAGAAAGTATAAGCTGAACCAAACTAGCATTTAGTCTTCACTATTGTTGTTAATTTTTGTTCTTTTCCTTTACCATCACATTATAAATTATAATTAATGAGTAAATTGTATTTAATATGTTATTAATTCATAATATATTAAATCTGATGATTGTTTTTATCTATATTTTAAGGCAGCGAACTGAGACATTATCGGATTTTATATTTACTATTTGGAAACAGAACCCCAAAAAGGCTAAACAGATGATTTAGGCTTCCTTGAATTAAAAATTTTTATACTAAAAAGCTTTTAGAAAGTAATAAGAAAGGTATCCCAAACGAAACCTTAATCCATCTGCCTTCCAGATTTACATGCAAATAGAAACAAGCAAGACTTATTGACAATAGAATCAACGAGATCTACAATCCTAGGTTCGTAAGATTTAAAGGCCTAACTTTCATGATATCAGATAGTGAAGCATCCTAGCAACGACGTAATCTAGGTAGGTAAAACAGCATAACAAATCAGAAATTAAGAAATAACAGATCAAGCCAACACAATCCTAAAAACCCAAATAAACGCATACATCTAGGCTCAAAACCCAAAAACAAGCTCAAACATTCAAAATGGAATCATAACTCTAACGGATCTGAAGAAAGAAGAGATTTTTACCGAAGACGGTGTTTGTCGGATTCATGGCAACCTGATTCTTCGCAGCATCGCCGATTAGACGCTCGCTGTCGGTAAATGCGACGTATGAAGGCGTGGTGCGGTTGCCCTGGTCGTTCGCAATGATCTCCACCCGATCATGCTGCCAAACGCCGACGCACGAGTACGTCGTACCGAGATCAATTCCGATCGCCGGACCTTCGCCTTTTCCAGCCATCTACACCGGAAACAATAGAAAAATTCGAGCGCGCCGAGAGAATTTAGGCAGAAACAGAAAGGAATTGTAGAATGAAACCCTAGCTTGACAGGACCGACAGATTGAAGGCAGTATTATAGATGAAGAGATGAACTTCTAGAAATTTCTATTTGTTGTGATCCGTTGGATCATATGCTGGCTCACGTATTGACCGCACGATTCGCTAATAATGTGGGTGGAAGAGCAGAGATGTTTGTTGCGGTTGGATTTGATGTTTGAGATATCTTGGCCGTCCGTAGCACTCCGTGGCGTGTTTTCGAAATATTCGAATCTTTTGGTTGAATCTTCAAAATTGTCGACGCCCGGCCTTTCAACGTGGCTTCAGCGTATCGTGCGTGGATAATGAGTGTTCAAAATTGGGTAATTGGTCAGATCAACATTGACGGGCATTTATGTAAATAAAGAAATACATTTGAAAAAATAATTTAAATGAGTATACTTTAGAAAAAAAAAATTGTTAGGCAAAATTTATATCATATTTGTACATAATCATATCATGTATCATGTACCTAATTATCCTTAATATCTACTTTTATCTGTTTTAAGTTGAGTCGAGCCGCTCGATTCGAGTATAAGCTCATTAAAATCGGAGACTGTTTGGTAACTCAAATTGCTGTTTGAACCTTCCAACAGCGCTTCGGGTCCTTGATTCAGACTCATTTGGGCTCATATTGAGTTGATCTTGGTGTCGTTGGGTTCGTATTTCCGAGACGCTCAGTTTGACTGTAAACTCACTGCAATCGGAATTCGGGTGCTCCCAAAATTAATTTTTGAAGATTCCAACTAACTTTTGTCTCGATATTCATGCCCGATCAAGCTAATTTTGTGATGTCGTATCAAGATTATATAAGCATTCACATCAATGTATATGATTTCATATAATTTATTTTTTTCTTTAATGTCATAATATTACTAGTTTGGAGAGATTTTTCATTTTTCAAGAATTAATTGGATTTGAGCCCTTTAACTTTATGTGTTTTGTTGAATTCAAAATTAATTGTGAATAATATCTAAATTTTATTGAGAGTATTAGATTAAGAGAGAGAGAGAGAGAGAGAGAGAGAGAGAGAGAGAGAGAGAGAATTTGTGTGAGAATGAAATAATTCTATGGTGAGATGATATGAGATTTCTATAAAAATATGTTTAAGTACAAAACGTTATGTAAATTATGCTTGCTTTTTGACCCCTTATTTATATCTTGAAATTGAGGCATGAGAGTTATAGAATTAACTATATACAAGATCAGGGAGTTATTAGTCCCTTAGAAATAGGAAGTCTTAAATTCACATATATTCTTCATAAAAGACATAGATGGTGCATCTTTTATTTTATAAAATACTTTCATTAGATCATATGGTGTGATTCAAGTATTTATTACTAAGTTCTCTCAATTTCTTAGCTATTTTATAGACAATTTTACAAGTAAGGTTAATGCACCATAGAAAATGGTTGATTTCTAACTGCATTTTCTGTCGGAAATCGACAAATTTCTGTTGTAAACTTGTAATAACACATTTCTGACGAATTTATGATGAAATTTTTTTTGCAGGTATAACATGCATAGGAAAACAAACAGCGCCAAAAAAATCTGGCAGAAATATTTCCAGTGAAAATTACGGCCATAATTTTTTTTTTTTAACTCATTTTGCCTTTGTTTGAATTCTACCTGAGCTTGCCAGCCCTCCAACGAGCTACTCGTGCAAGCTGGCATGCCGACACATGTATAAGGTTCGAACCCCACTCCTTCGAAGGAAAATCCAGCCATATATCCACTTGGCCACAGAGCAAGAGCTATTATAATTGCTACTTTTTTATTTAAATTATAATTCATTGAATATTAAAATTAATAATCAATTAAAAATAAATATTAATATTTTTGAAAGATAAAAATAATTAATTTAATACTATGGTGGAAATGAATTTTTACGCAGGAATTTAAATTTTTCACTCGAAATAAGCTATTTTCAAATTCAACAATATTCACCATTTTAGATAACTCAAAGCTAAAACCATATCATTGATTATGATCAACAACAAGCTATTTTATAATTCAATAGAAGAAGATTAAAAGAAAAAAAAAAAAGCTATTTTGCCAAAAAAATTATATTTAATTTCAAATCCTTTATCCTCTGAAAATAATAAAGTTGTTTTTCATACAGTAAATCATCTATTTAGAATCATATTGATCCGATCTGAAAGAGGTAATTTATTTAATCATGTATTCGAACTATATTTGTATGTACTTGGGAATATTTTGTATACATGTGAATATATGAATATGCTTTAGAGCGGGTCCCAAGGGTACATGTGCTTATTTGTGGAATCTGAAAATTTTCACTCATAGGGCACCACATCACTGAGCTCTCTGGAGTTTCATAAATTATTCATGATGCTGGTGGCGCCGCAACATTGTGGGCTCCTAGGGGGAGCGCTGCGGCATCCACGATTGGGCGCTGCAACCCTAGGCTGAAATTTTATATTAAAAATATCATTTTTCACAAAATCATTTCCATTCCCTTCCCTAAGAAGCTACCAACTAGAGAGAGAGAGAGAGAGAGAGAGAGATCCTAAAAAGAGAGTAATTTTTTGGTGACTCCAATCCATTTTCAACTTTTAGTCCAATTATGAAAATTGTTCAGCTTAAGGTAGGCTACATCTTGCATATCTCAATTTTTTTTTAAAGAAAATTTATTGAATTTTTTATTTTATTTATAATTTCATTAGAGAAATTTTTGGATAACTTTACACATGCTAAATTTTCATTGTGTAACTTCATGTATGTTATAGATACAACATTTATAAATACTTAGATTTTTTTCTAAAAAGTTTAACCGAGTAACTTGGAAAATGTTGGAATTTTGAAAAATTAAAAAACAATTTAGGTTCCAAAAAAATAATGTGGTAGTATAGTTAACACTTCAAGTAATGCTCTGAACAATTTCTAGTAATTTAGTTATATTTTGAAATAGTACATTTTTAGTTGTATGGATTATTAATGCATTTAAAATCTATGATAATGCATGTTTGAGTAGTTAAAGAGCAATTTAGTCAACCAAACTTGACCAAGACTTAGGTTTAGTTTTAACACATCCCAAATGTTGTTTGGAAGGCATTGGAAGAGTTTCCAAAGGTTGTTTTGAATAAGTCATACTGAGATTTATGAAAATGTTTGACTGTCCCTTTTGGAGCTTTGGGGTTAAGTGGGCCCATGGTCAACTAGGTCCACCAAAAGTTCATTTTTTATTTTTAACATGTCATAACAATGATCATGAGCATGTTCAAAGGGTTTGGAGAGGTTCCCAATGTCAATTTGAACAAGATGCATAGTCTAGTGATATAGGTTGTAAATATTTGAAGATTTTATAACATTTGGAATCAATTCAGTTTTTGGGATTACAGAGCTTGAATTGCTCTTAAATTTGGAGGCTTGGCCTTAAGGATATGTCTAATCAATATGCAAATGAAAAATCATAATTTCAAAATCATTTAATTTGATTTTGAGATGATTGAAAGATATCCTAAAATAAGTTACATGACAAGAGATTTTGGCATTGATTTTTTGTTTGAAGTCTTGGATTTTGGTTTTTAATTTAGATTTGGAATTTTCTTAGTCAACCTCATATACGAATGAGGTCAACAAATATGGATTATCTTAGCAAAATTTATCTGTTAATAATCATACATAATATACTAGTTAAAAAAATTCTTCATTTTGATCAACTAGTTTAGGGATTTATTTGGATCATAGAATTCATCAAAAATTGGGTCTTCAATTTTTATTTTGGTGCAAAGATCATAGGGAACATGAAGTCTTGTTCAAGTTAATGTTATTGCATTGGAAGTTTTCTAAACTAATCATTCATGGGTTCATGCTTAGGTGCAGTGTGGAACCTAATGGCCAAGTTTTGTGGTTGATCTTATTGTGTTTGAAATATATTTTGAAACATATTAAACTTTTTCACAATCGCATCTATTTTTCTTTATGTGGTTTGATAAAAGTTTTTTTTTGCATTATTTTGAAATTCTTCAAAATTGATCTTGGTATATTTATGAGGTATACTGCCATGAAGGGGTGTGATATATTTAGCGCATTATAGTCTAATACGATAATTGTTTTTATAAATATAGCAAAGCAAGTGATCCTTTAAAATATTAATGATTACAAAAAGCTTACAAAGTCTAAATATAATCATAAAAATATAATTTTCAACTATTTTATTTTAATTACAATTCAAGATAAGACTTTTATTTGTGGAGCGCATATTTTCTATTTAAAAAGTCTTAAGAAATTTTTAGATTATGATTCTTTTTTTTTTTTTGAAAAAGGGACTAGCCCAAAATTTTACTCAACAAAACGGAAGAGTACAATAACCACACAAAGCCAAAAACACACACTGACAACATAAGAGACCAACGTTATGAAACAACTAGCTTAGATGACAAAAAACACATCGCATAAAAGGTCAAAAAAAAAAAAAAAAAAAAAACCAAAGGATGCTAAACCCAAAAGGACTTAGTATGACAATCCTGCACCCATTGAGTAGCAAATAAACGACAATCCATTAGTGGTAATAAGCCATAAAGCAACCAGCTGAAGTTTAATAAGCAACACCAAAAGGCACAGAGATAACCACACTAACCACCAAGGTTGCCAGCTTAAGGCCAACCCGGGGTTAAGAAGCATTGTCTCATCATAGTCTAGCAACCAATAGAAAAGCCAAACCAAACAAATCATAAATCACTATTTTTTCTTAGATTTACTTTTAGATCTTTTTCTAACACCACTAGAAAAAGCATGATTAACTATTCGACTTGCCATGAAATTATACCTATCTTGTGGATCTTGAAACTCATTTGTATTCTCATCAACATCATATCGCCATCAGACACATTTAACCAATTTGAATGATCCACACAAGAGTTACTGACAAGGCCATATGGGCTTTTAACTCTGCATTGGACATGACAAGGCCAGATGGGTTTGATGAACCCCTTCTCAATCAACTCTGAAATTGACTCTTCAACTCCTGCAACTCCTTATTAACCATTCTATAAGGTGTTTTAACAATTCTTATTACTTCAAGCTGAACATTTGTTGTAAATCTCCTTTTTTATTGGCAGACCAGCAAGCTGGCTTATTCAAAAAAAAAAAAAAAATCATTCACTATAGGAATACTTCTTTTCTCACCAATTATTTCTTTGATTGATTCAAATTTAGCCAATCGTATTAATTCACCAATCTTTCTTCACTTATTCAACCTAACGGAGTATGACATTATTTCTTTCTCACATTAAAAGTAAAATGTCCAATCATTCGGAAAATCAAATGAGTCTCTCCTTCCAGTATTCAATGGAAGCATAATATTTAGTCAGCCAATTCCAAAATTACATAAAACTCAGTCAATAATATAAAAACAACAATAACTTCAAGCCTTTATCCCATTATGTGGGATTGGCTACATGAATCTTTTTTCTCCATTGTGTCTTGTTAAGAGTCAAATTCTCATTTAAATCTAATAAAGAAATATCATTTTTAATATTTTTTAACAAGTCTTTTTAGATCTACCTCTACTTTTCTTAACATAAGCCAAATCTAATACATCTACTCTCCTAAGTGGGTCATCAAAAAATTATCGTTCTATGTGACCAAACCATCTAAGATGTCTCTTTCTATTCTTACCTTCCATTGGAGTTACTCTCCCTTTCACGTATCTGCTCGTTTCAAATCCTATCTCCAAGAGTAAAGCCACTCATCCACCTACGCATCCTTATATTTGTAACACTTAACTTAATATTATGTTTCTTTTTTAATGGCCAACATTCTGCACTATAAAATATTGCAGGTCTCACCACCATCTTATAGAATTTTCTCTTAAGTTTGAGGGATAATTTTCCATCATACAAGAAGCCCGATGCATTCCTCTACTTCAACCATCCAACTTGAAATCTACTAATAATATCCCCATCTATTTCACCATCACTCTGAACAATAGATCCAAGATATCTAAAATGTGTACTCTTATTAATGACTTGATCGCCCAAAGTCACAATCCCTCCACTAGATATATTACTAATAAAATTATACTCCATATATTCGGTTTTAGATCTACTCAAACGAAAACCTTTAGACTCTAAGGTTGACCTTCATAATTCAAGTTTACCTTCAACTCCATAATTCAAGTTTACCATCATAAAGAAGAAGAAGATTATGAAGAAATAGGTGGAGGAAGTGAGAGTTAAGAGAGATAACCAGTTTGAGAGGTCAAGCTAGGCGTTGGGTTTGACTTGAGGTGGCCAGACATATATGAGAGCAAGAGTATCGAGAGGAGAGTGGAGAAGCGTGAGCATCGAGAGAACAAGAGGCGAGGGGAGGCCTCCTCGGTGTGGTTCGCACGAGATGGAGGAGTAGAGAAAGGCAGGGGTCATCAGAGAAGCTTTCACGGGAGAAAAACATCGGGCTCAGAGGGGTTGGGGTGGGGTTTTGATGGAATGTAACGGAGTAGTATTTCAAATGAGAAGAATGTTATTTAGGTGATATATAAGTAAACAATATAGTTTAGTTAGGTATGTAAAAACAGTAATTTTATGTATTATGTATGTAAAAACCCCTTGATTTTAACATAATGTTGACACTCATATGAACTTAATTGCTAGTTTTTACATTCCATTGTCAGCAACATAACATAAAATTTAAAGTTAGCATATTTTATTAGTTATATAATATAATATACCTACATATATTTTCATTACAACATTATGACCCCATGTAGTGGGATAAAGGCTTAATGTTATTGTTCCTGGTGGTGGCATTGTTGTTGTATAGCTAGAATTATAATATCATCATATTATAATATTATCATAATTATGGATACATCTAATAAAAGATTTACCACCATTAATGTGAGTTTACTAAAAATTTTGAAAGACGTGAAGATCGTATTCAATCCATTCCAAAATATAGGAAATATAAGAATTGCCATGATTTAAAATTTGATAAAAGTCTACATTGAAATCACTTTTGTCTCCAATTTTAATAGACAGCAAAATTCTAATAGTATTTTGGACTGTTAGCTTATTTTGATAATGTATTCAATAAGAACCACATGATTGATGAAAGTTGTATTAGAATTGTTTACGCTAAGTTGGTAATTGTGCATAAATATTTTGGAAAAAGACTCAGAATGAAGATAATCCTATTACTATATGAGCTAAGATGAATTACAAACTTAAGCAGTCATATCTGTCACCACAACACTATATGCAATCAATTGAAAAACTTCTAAACCTTAGCAAAAACTCTTAAGTGTGGAGAAGTAATTTAATAAGTTTGAAAGGTCATTTGAAATGTGTTTGCTTGAAAAATCATGAACTATTGCACCAATATTCATTAACGGTCTTAAGAAAAACATTAGATAGAAAATAAGTACTTATTATCACAAGACAATAAATATGACTTACTCTAAATATATAAAGATTGAATTACATCTTAAGTAACCTCTTGTTATTTCTATTGATCCATCCCTTTAAAATAACAAAATCTGCTTATGATCCACACGCACAAGCAACAGCATCCACAAACTCAAGTCAAAACTCATCTTATTTAGAATTTTACAATCCATGAAATTTTTAACCCTTCTAATGCTAACTTAGTTTTAGAAGAATATTACCAAATCAAGAATGTATCTTTACAATGCAATTTATCTACGCTTGAGACTATATCTGTTTCTGAACTTAAGCCCAAACGTGAGTAAGTCATGAAAATGAGAATCAGGTCGAATCTAATATAACCACGTTTTTAGCAAGCAATTATTTTGGTTCAAGATTACTTTCATCTTTTATTTTGTTACTAGGGTTACCATTGAATTGTAAGTTTAAATAAATAAATAATAATAATAATAATAATAATGCTTAATTACTTATTATTTCACGCTATTTACATATCTAATACATAAAATATTAATATTACATGTCAACCAACCACAGAATAAATATGGGTGCATGTAATGAAATATTAGAGTTTATAGCATTGTATAAGTGGTAAGAATGAAATATATGAATCGTATATTCAATATTAAAGTTGTATAAGGATGATAAGCATGTAATATTAATGTTTTGAGTGTTAGATATATAAATAGAATGAAATAAAATGGTATGGATGTAAATCCCTCTTAATAATATTTATTAATTACAACTATGTTAACTTAAGTAATATTGTTTTTAATTTAATTTAAGTAATTAAAATATTATATTTAATCAAACTAATAAATTATTAATAAATGATTTAATAGAATATCAACTTGTATTATATATGATTTAATTAACTTAATTCTATTTCATATACTTTACTAATTAAGATTATTAATAATTATCAATCTTATAAATTAGATACAAATACATTAATAAAAATAAGTCACCCTTGTGAATGAATATTAATTACTTTAAAATATTTATTAAAATAAATTAATTTTATTTATTATGCAATTTGAAAAAAAATGTACTATATTGTGTTTAATTAACTTAAATAGGAGTTTTATTATAATTATTATTTAAATAATCTAATTGAAGTTGATGTATTGATTATATATAATACTATCTCATAATCATATAAATATTTATATTTTGAATCAAGTAACAAAATAGTATATTAAAGTAGTTTTTTTGTAATAAAAAATTGGGAGATGAGACGTTTGGGACGGCTTTCTTGTTATTTCTTAAAGTAATTTTTTTGTAATAAAAAATTGGTTTAAAAGAAGTAGTAAGAAAGTCGTCCCAAACGAAGCCGAGATGTGAGCATTGTGAATGAGACTCTAGAAGCTTCCTAGTTAAACTAGAAATGTCCAACTATAGGATAAATGAACATTTTCATTGATGTTCTCAATTGAGAAAATATTGAATTGTATAGAAAACAACTTTGAGTGGAATTTTTGGTCTCAACTCTCAATAATATATTAGAAATTTATCGTACGGTCTTCAACCAAGTTCTTGTAGTCAGTGGCTTGCGTATCACCATTCTAACTTAGTATTGAAAATATATATAAGATTACACTAATCTTAAAGCAAATTTAATAATTATAAAAATCATTTTGAATAAATTTAGTCAATGTATGATGATCTATAATAAGCTCGAAAGCATTATAAAAACAAAACGAAATTAGAAAAAAAAAACTGAAAAATAAATTGAAGCGCAGCCTCTGTAATGTGGCAGAAAAGAACTGTATTTTCTTTCAATCAAAATATGTATTACACTCTTAAACTAAATCTCATTTTGACCAAATTTGAATCAGAATATTGATCCAAATTTGATCTATTAACCAAGAACATACAGTGTGTAAAACAGGAAAATATCAATTTTTTTTAAAAAAAAGTACCTTGCCTGCAAATACTAAATCAAGTGAGGAATCTCCATTGAGGCTTTCTGGAACCAAATCATGGAATCTGGAAGGATATATTCTCCACTTGGATCCTCAATCTGTAAGCATCCATTAGGCATTAGGCAGAAAAACAAAGGGAAGCCATTAATTGATCTGACCAATCTCATCCAGCTTTCAATCTAAGTATGTCCAAAGCTGTCCTCTTTCTGAAATAAGCCATGTGTTCCTGTAAAATGATAAGTCCTTTTGATTATTTAAGGGGGAAAAGAAAAGAGTTTAAGGGAGTAATTATTGTGTCCGGATACCGAACACGTCCGAAGACCAATGGGTGCTCGGTACCGAGCACTCGGTATTGCTCGGTATTTGTCCGGATTTCTGATTTTTTATCCGGACGTAATAACTTTTCAGTTTAAGGAAGCCAGAATATAAGAAAAGTAGTCTGAGAATTAGGAAAGAGGAAAGATCTAAAGGTAATTTGGATAGAAATTGTTTAAATTATTTTAAGGAAAGAAAGTTTGAAGTCTGAAGCAATAAATGATGATATACACACCTGACTGAAGCGCAACTTCAAACCTCTGCTGTAGAAATCCGCATATTTGAGCATAAACATTCCACAATCCCACCTGTTAAAAATATTGGGAGAGTTAATTTTAGATTAGCAAGAAAAATTTTAAGCAGATAGCGAGGTTCTCTTTCTCGTCAGATTTAAAATGACTTGTAGACATGTTATCTCTATCAGTCAATTTACTTGAATTAAAGGAGAAAAAAAATTATATATATATATATATATATATATATATATATATATATATCAGCAAATTTAGGAGCCAAAGGAGGGAGCGGAAGGGGCTATTAGGTCATTTTGCTTCTTGTTGTAACGGTATGCCTTAAGTATGAGGGGGAGATTAGAGTTAGGGTTATGCTTGATTATTGTTCTCTTGAGAGTTTCTTCTTGGTGTCTTGGGCTCTAGAGCTATCTAGAGATTGGGAGAGAACGATCCTCCCCTCGAATTGAGGATCAATTGTATCTTTGTTTTCGTTACTTCCATTAGTTCTCCCTTTTGCAATAAAATTACTGTTAGAGAGTTTTCCTTCAGATGTTGTGGGAATCGTTTGCTTTTCTCTATCTTCGTTAGGGTTTACTTGATATATTCAAGTATTTCCTCTCAAACACCTACTAATTCAATGACAATCATGTAAAATGAAATCTTTGGACTTTTCTAACAAGAGAATGAAAGGCTATCAAATTTTCAGAAATGAAATTCAGGAATAACAAGAAAAAAATTAAAAAAAAAGGATGATTACTAGCTAATTTTTTGGTCCTGAAGCAAAAAAAAAGAGATTTCACCGGACCGCACAAAAACTCAAAATTTTAAAATAAGCTTCCCTAGAGCAGGATTCTGGATGCATGAGGTTGACCAAATGTCATGGAAAAAATATCATCAATTATATTATGGTAATGACATAGCCATCATACCCATTCTTCTGTAAAGGAAGTTCATCTACAAATTCCTTCTTCCAGGATAGCGTGTCAATTTCTTTGCCACTCTTGTCCCTTACTTCATCCTTCAAATATCTTGCCTGCATTTGAAAACAAACCAAAAACAAATTCCAAAGATGAATGACATCATATCTTACATAAAATATTAAAAAAATCAAAAAATATAACAGAATCTGCATCAAGGTAGCCACTTAGTAAATATTTTAAAAATATGTAACTAGTAATATCAAAATTGTGAGTGCAGAAATCTCCAAGACGAGCAAGAAAATCAACAGCAATCAATATTCAATTAAGAACAAAAATATACTATGATCAACAAAGCAAAATATTTTTTAGTTTCCAACACAGACTAGCCAAGAAAATATACTTTTAACTTTTGTTAGACTGGTCCATTGGACAGGTCCAGCCGGTCCCACTACGGGACCGGCTCGTGCAAAATAGGCGGAGTTCCGCCTCTTGTACGCCGATCCGACCACCCAGGCACCGCAGAGCTATTTAGGAAGGTTTTTGAAGGGAGTTACGAGGGAAATGTAGAGACTGTTTAGAGATTTCCTTTTTGATTGTATGCATTAAATAGTTTGTTTTCCTAGGGTTAAGAGCATCTTGAATTTGGCTGAAATTTGAGATCGCTTAGGTTTTTGGACTCTAGCGGCATCTAGATATTTGAGAGAGATAGATCCTCCTCTCGAATTGAGGATCAGCTGTAAATTGTTATTTTTTCTTCCGTTTTATTTGATCCTTGCAATAAAATTACTATTTTCCCGGGCTTTCATCGGAGTTTGGAAGAAAGTTTTTTTTTTTTTATCAAAGATTGATAGGGATTCTTGATAACTTCAAGTGTTTCCTATCAACCTTCTACTTGTCAAGTACATTGACATAAGATCCCTGCTGAAAAAAATATAAAAATTAAAGGTGCCAATTCAAACAGAACATGAATCCGATCCAAACAGTGTTGAGTAAATAGATTTAGCTCGCAAGACATGTTCTAGTAAGATAGCTGCCAAACTCAAAAATGCTCCGCCATGTTCAGGTTGAACCAAACATGCCAAATCTGATTTTCTGAAGGACTTAACTGATCATTTACCTAAAAAAAAGATTAGCATCCCAATTCCCAATTTTGAAACCTCCAATCATAATCACTTCCGATTCATGGCACATTTCCATTATAGAAATGATGTCATGTGATAAGCCAACTCTTCTCTGATAGGCCGGTTCCTCCTGAACCGGCCCAATCAGGATGAGCCGGTTTTAGTTTATAGGAGGCGGGCTAGTCCCACCTCCTCTATACTGCCGCCCACAATATTGAGTCCCACTATTCCAATTGAGTTCAAATTAGAAAAGGAGGGGGCAGCTAGGACTTTGGAGGGAAATTTGATTTGGAAAGTTTATGTACTAAATAGTGTTAGGGATATGCTTGATTTTATTTCTCTTGAATTCCTTGGCGTCTTGGGCTCTAGACTACCTTGTCTAGAGATTTGGGAGAGACGATCCTCCTCTCGAATTGAGGATCACTTATATCTTGTTTTCATGTTTATTTGGCTTTGATTCTATTATTGCAATCCATCGTTTTGGGGCTGATTTCAACCAGATTGTTGCATTATTCTCGCTGTTTTCACCGATTAGTGATAGGTTTGCTTGTGAACTCAAGTATTTCCTATCATTCTCCTAACACCTTCAGTTGGCACCTTGGCCTAACAAAATTCCAGATTTTATGTATATAGATACTTGAATATCTACTTATATTACAAACCCAGCCCGTTACGACCAGTGCAAGCTAAGGCCTAACAGATTGAGTTTTCAATAACACTGATAGAAAGTACTATCTAAAAAATATCTGCAATACCAGCACGTAGTATAAAAGGTTATGAAACATTTCGAATATCTGAAACAAAGCAAAGACACTCCATGGAGATTTGCACTAGTATTGGAAGCATAAAAATCATTGTAAGTTACCAGCATTTTCAGCACATGATTATCCAAGCCACCCAACGAGTCAAGATACTGAAAAGATCCATCCTTAACATTAATAACTGCCAAACACCAATGAATTTCTTTGTGTATGGGTACAAAAATCTGCAAAATAGATTTAAAAAGGGGCTTAGACATGTAAAAGTAAGCATTCAATCATGAGCAAGGTAAGTATGTTCACCTTGTCACACTCAATGAGAGCATAACCCAACTTCCTTTGCGTAGTCCATCTTTTCACAGCCTTGAAATCATAGCCATGCTTCTCACTGGTCAGCTAAACAGCAATCAATAATTATTAGGAAAAAAATCAAACTCAAGCAGAAATCACCTAATCACAAATCTAAAAATTGCATACAATGAAGGAATATGTACAAACAGTAAAGATAACACAACAGCAACAGCTCCAGGTTATGCCACATATTCACCCACACCCACTAAAAAAAGGAATAGTAATGATCAAGTACAATAACAACAAATTAATTGTAACAGAAAATAAAATGCAAAGTTTTATATAACCATGATAATCACTTAACAACTTTATGAATTAACATTTTTCATTTGTTCTGATTGAGTATTGCATTATATGTTAAATCTTATTTCATGCAAATTTATTTGCAAGCTTTTTTCATGTTAAAAAAAATAATGATTCCCAAAAGAGAAAAAAATTTAACGTGCCAAAACAAGACTGATAAAGAAGCAACACGAACAATATCACCATCTTTTGGAAATACCTTTTAAGCTAGAGAGGATCAGAGGACTGGCACTTTGGCCAAAATCTCTGGCCAAAAGGAATGAACAGGGCCGTATGAAATGTAATTTTTGCCCTATATATGAAAGAATATCATGACAAAACTGGTACTTAAAAAAATGCAGCGCATTCGAAACCTCCCTTTCAATGAGAGAGTTTGACAAATAAAATCTTTCTCTACAGTGAAACTAGATAGTATGCCTCACAAAAAATGAAGCTCCTAGAACAAATATATCACCGGATTAAATAGAAATTCAAAATAGGGGATATTTATGAGTATGACATTGAATTTCTTATTTACAAAACTAACCTTCAGGTCATTTGTTTTAAACTACTGAATTCATGCATTTATGTGTACTACGATCAAATTATTGAGAAGTTGAAACTAGCGGAAAAAAAAGGTTGAGATTTTTGTTGTGAATTTCAATATTTTAGTGAGAACTTCGAAAATACACAACTCACCTTGGCCTGTTGGTTGAGAGCTTATGCTACAACCTAAGAGGTCTTTGGTTTGAGTCTTTGTGCATGCGATGTGTGTGTGAGTTTGTCTTAATTGGCCTAAATGTCCCAATAAAGAGAACTTCGAAAATTAAAAAAGTAGAGTGCTTGTTTTATAAAGAGGCAATATTTGAATGCTACATATGAAACTACCCAAAAGAATATAATTAAACATCGGTGCAAAATAATGACATATTATTTAATCAACAACAACAACAACAACATCAAGCCTTTATCCCACTACGTGGGATCGGCTACATGAATCCTTTTTCTCCATTGTGTCCTATTAAAAGTCAAATTCTCATTTAAATCTAATAAAGGTCATTCCTAATATTTTCTAACCAAGTCTTTTTAGGTCTACCCCTACCCTTCTTAACACAAGTCAAATCTAATACCTCTACTCTCCTAACCGGGTCATCGGAAGGCCACCTTTTTATGTGACCAAACCATCTAAGGCGACTCTCTCTAATCTTATCTTCTACTGGAGCTACTCCAACCTTTTCACGTATATGCTCATTTCGTATCCTATCTCTAAGGGTAAAGCCACTCATCACCTGAGCATCCTCATCTCTGCCACACGTAACTTAGTATTATGCTTCTCTTTTAATGGCCAACATTCGGCACCATAAAGCATTGCAGGCCTCACTACCATCTTATAGAAATTTCCCTTAAGTTTGAGGGGTACATTTCTATCACATAACAAGCCCGATGCATTCCGCCACTTCAACCATCCAACTTGAATTCTGCTGATAATATCCCCATCTATTTCACCATCACTCTGAACAATAGATCCAAGATACCTAAAACGTGTACTCTAATTAATGACTTGATCGCCCAAAGTCACAATCCCCTCACTAGGACTATTACTGCTAAAATTACACTCCATATATTCCGTTTTAGATCTACTCAAGCGAAAACCTTTAGACTCTAAGGTTGACCTCCATAATTCAAGTTTACCTTCAACTCCCTCTCTAGTCTTATCAACAAGAAGAATATCATCAGCAAAAAGCATACACCAAGGTACATCATCTTGCAAATGTCTAGTGAGAACATCCATGACTAAAGCAAAAAGATATGGGCTTAAGGCTGATCCTTGATGTAACCCAACCGAAATAGGGAAATACTTGGTCAAACCACCTTGTGTTTGAACACAAGTAATAGCTCCTGCATACATATCTTTAATGATTTGAATATAAGCATTATTAACTCCTTTATTTTCAAGAACTCTCCATAGCACTTCTCTTGGAACTTTATCATATGCTTTTTATAAATCAATAAATATCATATGTAGATCCTCCTTATTTTCTCTATATTTCTCCATCAAACCTCTTAATAAATGTATGACTTCCATAGTCGACCTACCCGGCATGAATCCAAATTGATTTTGAGAAACATTAGTATCACGCCGCAACCTATGCTCCAAAACTCGCTCCCATAGTTTTAAAGTATGACACATTAACTTAATACCTCTATAATTCGCACAATCTTGAACATCACCTTTATTCTTAAAAATAGGAATTAACACACTCATTCTCCACTCATCTGGCATCTTTTTAGTCTTCAAAATAGTATTAAAAAGTTTAGTAAGCCAAGAAATTCCTTCATCTCCTAAGCATTTCCACACCTCTATTGGAATATCATCAGGTCCATTTAACATACATTATAATATATTATATATATTATTTTAATTAAAGCAAAGCTCATTATCCCAAAAAAATCAATGATGCCATCCCAACTCCCAAGCAATTATGTGAGTCCCAACTTCCAACATATATTATAATAAGTTATATATATTATTTTAATTATTCATTAACATTTATTTTAAAATATTTTAATATATTATAAAACATATTATATATATTTTTTAATTAATAAATAATTAACGAGTCGGCTTCGTGAGCTCACGAGCCGGACAACACAAACTCGAACTCGAACTCGAGCTCGACTCGTGAGCTCGGCTCACGAGCTCATAAACGAGTCGAGCTCGAGCCAGCCCGGAGCCGGCTGCTCCTTACACCCCTATGTTAAATCAATACATAGCAAATCAAAAGAGCATAATAAAAATCATAAAGTGGCTGCCCTTCGATTGGTAACTTCTATATATCAAAAAACACAAATCCAAATGCACAATTTTATGGTCAACCAATCACAGAGATATCATAAAATGAATACAAAAGCCTTTTAGGTATGCAATATAGCCAAGCTGAAAAATAAATATATCTACACGAGCAAAGTAAAAAATGACAAGGAAAGATGGACTAACCTTTTTATAGAAAAAGGTGTTAAAGAAATGACATTTCAAAAACTTTTTGGGCTCCCTTTTTTCCCTCTCCTTCAATAGCTCAAAGTACAGATTAATGACCTGCCAGAAGAAGCATGCAATAAGAGATGATTTCAGCTCTTTCCAGACATATTTTCATTTCTAAGATAAAAATTTATAATACAAAAAATAAACATAAACCAAGAATAAACACCTCATCATTCAACCAAGCACCCGGTCTCAAGCATTGCAAGACCTCTCTCGTAATCTGAATGTTAGAGGATTCATGCGCTACTAAAACTTTATGGCTGCAAGGATAACATAGGCAGTATTCACAAAACTATACTTAGCGCTGAGTATAAGCAGGAGTATTATGTCATAAATCACATGGGATTATAGCATCACACCTGTTGCCACTAAACAGAGCAATAGAGATCTCTTCCTCTTCTTCAGCCGTGAGAGGGTAAAAAAGTTCCTCAATTTTCTGAAAAAGTTATCATTAAAACAGACTTTAATGCTAAAGTTTAGGCGTAAAGAACTCTAATAATAACCAGAAGAACAAATTTAATTGGCTCATTTATAACAGTTTAGATATTTGTCCATAAAAAAATTTCACTCAATAAAATCTAATTACTGCATAGATATTATGTTCCACAGCATCACCCTACATGAAAGTGTCTGTTAAGATTTGATGGCAGTCATATTTGTTAAGCGCCTACAAAACAATATCAAATCATGTTATAAATAATCACAGAACAAGCATATGGCTATTTTCATAAGCAATGACATTAACAAGTCCCTATATCACTAGAAGCTTCATGGTTTTTGATGAAGCCAGTGAACCAATAGTAAGACTAAGACATATAATGCGCTTTCCAACGGTTCCAACGGTTACAAGGGCTAATATAATTGATTCTTTGGAAATTATAAATAGTAACGGTTTTATCTCGCCTTTAGAAGCTGATATTCTTGAGTGAGTGTTTCCTTTCTTCTATTGGGTGAGTGAGTCGCCAAAATTTTTATAATTTTTTGTTGAGTTTAAGTACGACTTCACATTCTCTTTCATCACTTATGTTTCCACTATATCCACTCAAACATTCATTTTTTTCCTCATTTATATGGGGAAATCTTATATTCAAACATCAAATTTAGCATAAGAGTGAATTTATCATGCCGCACAAGTAATATACTTTATCAACTCCAAAGTCTCCAATATTGACCATCCATGAAACTACAATTTGGGATGAGATCTATGACCTCTATTAATCAAAAGCCAGTCTCAAACACATGGAAGAGAGCAATATAACAATCACAAAGGAATGGTTGGCCGCCACTAACCTGTCCTAAAATTATAAAACCTATCAAATCCAATCTAGCAGATAACCATTATGCAATGTTCTTAACATTAACTACAAGTAGTATATCAATTCAAAATAAAATAAGGTCATATCAAAAGAAAATCTGAATATATTGACATGAAACAACATGACTAAAAGAATTAATTAGTAATTACGACTCAATATTAACATGATAGGAACTGCATTCCCATATTGCTAATCAACCATCTTTTTTATAAATTTCAGACACCTCACATTAATTCTATAAGTTCCATGGAATCAGCGTTACCACTTAAGAAAACAACCGCTTTTCAATCCATTTGCATTGTACAAAAACAAGGCATGTAAGGACAATAGTTCACAATAAATGCTCCGGGCCCAAGTACGGTGGGCGTGGATTAGAAGATTTTCTTGAGGCATATTTTTAGAAACCAAAGCTTGAAAACAAGTGAACATGAATAAATATAAAAGCTCATGCTACTTTTACAAACAAAAATGACTTCAAATAAATCATTGGGGTGAAACGTGGTAAAATGGAAACTAATAAGTAGGAAAGTATATAAACAAATTTAAGTTTAAATTGTTGCAATACTTTGTTAGCATGCACAAATTAAGTCAGCACGGGATTGTGTTGGACCGACCACAAATTTAACAGACAATACAATAAAACGACTCAACTAAGTACTATACTAAACTTAGTTATTTTAGTTAAAATTTGGCCAAACTAGTAAGAACTAAGAAAGTGTTTCTTTTTCCAAAACTATATGCTTATTCATATATGTTTTAGACTTTTAGTTAGCATCAAAAATCAGCCAAAATGAACAGAGCAGTAGGAAGGCTGCTAAAAATCACAATAGATTATGAAGCCAGGCGGTTAACAAGTCAATTAGGTGAGATGGACAAGGCTGGGAATTCAAGTGCAGGCGGGGGCAATATTATTAAGAAGGGAGCAATAATCAAAATTCGAAAGCAGGAGAGGTTAGTGAGAATTTAAAATGTGATGCAGAGGGTTTGTTATCGGAGTAGTTCATGACCATAATCAACACTGGAAACTAACACAATCCAAATCTATAACAATATTTTTTTGTTTAATTTTATTAAGCACTTATCCATCATAAAGCTGAGCACAAAGAGTTGGATGAGAAGGCTATATTGATGCAATGTCATCTAATACTTATCAAAAGGATGGCAACCAAAGGCATAAGTGACAAATAAAATATGCGCCGATAAAGTGCGTCCAGCAAAAAGAACAAAAGTTACCTCTTTTGGTTTCTCTTCCCTTTTCCACAGCAACTCCGCCTCAATACGGAACCCAATGACCTTCTTATACAACACTTCCACTTCAAAGTTCAAGCTATTTAATCTGGTATCATGCTTCTTAGCCTTCTCATACAACTCCTTGTACAGAGGTTCCTTCTTCACCAAGATCCTCTCCTCCCTCTTGTGCACCAACTCTAACGCCATATTTCTTCCATCCTCCACCTTTTCACTAACAACATCCGAACCATCCAAAATATCCGCTTCATTTATTGTTAACATTCCTCCATCCTCCACCTTTTGGCTTAAGGCATCTGAACCATCCAATATCTCCGTTTCATTTCTTGTTGACAATTCCGGAGATTTTGGCTGAAGCGAGCTCACCTTACCAACCTCATCGCCAGGAAAGCCAGATTGTTCCTCCACCAGCTTTTTGTACTCTTCCAGTGCAAACATCTCATCCTGCTTCTTTCCACTGAGTTGAGAAAAGAAATTCCCCATCTCCGCTATGCTTGAGGGCTTCCATTTCCTGGTTGACGAGGATCCGAGACCAAAGGCGCGGATAATGCGTTGTGGTGCGTGAACTAGGCGGCGAAAGGGAGTAGGCTGCGGGATATTGGATGAAATAGGGGACGACGAGGGCGGAATAAGACGGGGTTTCTTTGGAGAAGCGGAAGAGATGGGAAGGCGCAGGTCAGCGGAGCTGCGCTTTCGTTGATCGGTGAGTGCACCCATCTTGGTATCCAGATCGTCGGTGGCGGAAGCTTAGCATGGACTGGGCTATGGGGGCATGGAAGATCCCTGAAGCCCTGAAAGTAATCGAGGTTTTGAATATGTTTTGAATCGGACGCGGGAGGGAGAGAGGGTTAGGGTTCGGGAGATTTGGGTATCGGAGAAGATGGGTTGGGCAGCGCAAAGCGCGCGGGAGCCTATATAAGTGCGACGAGGGTTTTCTTTTAAAGGCTATTAGGAAAGCTTGAAAAGGCCCAAATTTTTTTTTCTAAAAATAGATTTTCTTGTTGTGAGAGAGTGGAATTAAATAAGTATATTATAAATTAAATAGGAACCCTCACTATCAAACCAAATATTAAATTCATGGGAAGGCTACATATGTATATTATTTATAAAATTAAGATTTTTTTATATTTAAACTCTCATTTAAATAAAAACTAATTTAAATTATAAATGAGATCATCTTTTATAAATGTTCCATTTGCAAAGATTTTCATTAATGGTAACTCTTCTCTCATGTTCTTTCTGCCTATTAGCCAGCTGTTTAGGCATCCCTATCCTATTCTACCTCAATTGGATCTCTTTAGGGTTTTCATGTATGTTATGGAGTGTTCCTCATCTCCTTTCTTTGTCTCCTCTTGAAGCATGGAAAGTTAATAGTCGATCAAACTCATAATTGAACTACAAAGGGCTATTAGCAGTGTAGGTGCCTAACTCCTCGAGCTTCTCTCTGAGGTATGTCTCATGCTAAGAAAAGAATCTCACCATATCAAATGAAGAAATAGATAAAGAAAAGCAGTGTTGGAGCTTTGCCTTAGTTGACTACGCAATTAGCGGGAGGCTTTTTATAGCAACTTATGTCAAGCTATGCATAAAATGTGGATGCTAAAATGTACCTTTAAAATTCTGTGTTGTCGACAAATTTTTTTTTTCTAGTTTACTTGAAGTGAATGCTTGTAAATGATAAACAATTTAGGTCATTGGCTTATAAATGGAAGACCCTCCATTTTTTTAAAAAATGGACCCCTTAGATTTGTGCAAGTCTAAGAAGAATATAAGGAGATTCCCATTAGAATCAAATAACTTAATCTCACCCTTAGATGTTGGTCATTTGTTCCACTACGTGGGGTTGACTGCATGAATCTATTTTAGGTCTTAATTTAAAATACTCAACTTTATTAATAAGATTAGTATTTCTTTTATTGCTAATTCATTAACTATCAAATATTGTAGATTGACTTTTTCCATGACCAGTGTCCAGCTTTCTACTTGTTATGTTCTTTCATATTTCATCGTCTTAATTATGAAAGGGAAGGACAATCAACGTTATATGAATGAGGAACCTCCCCTTGAACTACATGTGACATATTTTCTCATTTGCTACCAATTGTCCAAAATCAACGAACTTTCAACCAATTCCAAAGCTATACCAAAATTGTATCATTATGATCTTCCATTTCCCCCTCCCCTCATTCACTATTGCCATTAATCTCAATATTCCAATCATCAATTTGGTTAATATCATTGGCTCCTTTTTTCTCCTCTCATTCTAGAATTGAAGGATGATCCAAAAATATTATTTTTCTCGCTTCTAAATAAACTAACATGTGATTGTCCCCATCTCACAATGCATTCGGTATTGACCCTAATCCTGATATCGATAAGGAACTGGTTCTTGCTGTTTTGGCCACAACTTCCATTTCAGTGAATCGAGATACCACAAAGTTTTTATAAAATATTCTGCCTACAATTTGAAAAATATAAAATGCATACAAATAGAGCTACTCCCCCATCCTAGCATCTTTCAATGCATTTGTTTAAACATATTACATAAATTGTTAGGGTTATAATGGTGATATGCAAGCCACCGACTACAAGAACTTGGTTGAAGACCGTACGATAAATCTCTCATATATTATTGAGAGTTGAGACCAAACATTCCACTCAACTTCTTTTCTATGCAATTTTATATTTTCTTAATTTAGATCATCCATAATAATTTTCATTTATCTTATAATGGACATGTCTAATTTAAATAGGATGCTTCTAGAGTCTCATTCACAATGCACACATCTCATCTTCATGATTACATTTGTTCTTGACTAATTATATGAGATTTCAAACTCTAATATACTATTTTGTTACTTGATTCAAAAATTTAAAGATTTATATGATTATGAGACATTACTATATATAATCTATACATCAAGTTAAATTAGATTAATTAAATAATAATTAGAATACAACTCCTATTTAAGTTAATTAAACACAATATATTACATTTTTTTTTCAAATTACATAATAAATAAAATTAATTTATTTTAATAAATACTTTAAATTAATTAATATTCATTTTCAAGGGTGGCTTATTTTTATTAATGCATTTGTATCTAATTTATAAGATTGATAATTATTAATAATCTTAATTAGTAAAGTATATGAAATAGAATTAAGTTAATTAAATCATATATAAGACAAGTTGATATTCTATTAAATCATTTATTAATAATTTATTAGTTTGATTAAATATAATATTTTAATTACTTAAATTAAATTAAAAACAATATTACTTAAGTTAACATAGTTGTAATTAATAAATATTATTAAGAGGGATTTACATCCATACCATTTTATTTCATTCTATTTATATATCTAACACTCAAAACATTAATATTACATGCTTATCATCCTTATACAACTTTAATATTGAATATACGATTCATATATTTCATTCTTACCACTTATACAATGCTATAAACTCTAATATTTCATTACATGCACCCATATTTATTCTGTGGTTGGTTGACATGTAATATTAATATTTTATGTATTAGATATGTAAATAGCGTGAAATAATAAGTAATTAAGCATTATTATTATTATTATTATTATTTATTTATTTAAACTTACAATTCAATGGTAACCCTAGTAACAAAATAAAAGATGAAAGTAATCTTGAACCAAAATAATTGCTTGCTAAAAACGTGGTTATATTAGATTCGACCTGATTCTCATTTTCATGACTTACTCACGTTTGGGCTTAAGTTCAGAAACAGATATAGTCTCAAGCGTAGATAAATTGCATTGTAAAGATACATTCTTGATAGGTAACTTTCTCCCTTTCGCGCGCTTCTTCGGCCAAATCCCGTAAATCCGACTTCTAGCGGGATTAGGATTTACCGGGATTTAGCCGATTTACGCCGCAAATCCGGGAAATCCGTAAATGGCCATTTTTTGCGTTTGGCTGAATTTACCGTAAATCCTACTAAAAACTCGAAATAAATCGGATACCAAACACCCCCTTAAATTGAATATTGCTCGCTCGAATCTTACTCAAATTCTGATATCAAACAGCCCCTTACACTCGCTTATTCTCCATTCTGCATCGGCGTGCTTTGCTTTACGACGGTCTTGGACTCACAGGAAATCTAGTTCCTTCATCGCCATGGTAAGATCTTAGGGATATCTTATATTTATGCTTTATGTTTTGTAGTCCCGAAAAAATCCTCTTCCCCTATTTCAATTTCTTCTCCTTACTGATTATATTTCTTTTGACAGCCTCAAGGTGATTACATTGAGCTTCATCGGAAGCGCCATGGCTACCGCCTTGATCATTTCGAGCGGAAGAGAAAGAAGGAGGCTAGGGAGGTCCATGAAAGAGCTGCTTACGCCCAAAAGGTTCTATAATTTTCTTCTTCCATTATGGGAATATTTGTTTTGTTTTTATGCATTGCTAAGTTGTTTTTTATATTTGCTTGTAGGCGCTTGGTATCAAGGGGAAAATGTTCGCGAAGAAGCGTTATGCCGAGAAGGCGCTGATGAAGAAAACGTAAGTACCATTTCTACTCTCTAGCTTAGTTTTTTTAATCAACATTTTTTTTGGTCTCATCTAGAGCTATTTTATATGCTTTATGTTATCTTCCTATTGAAATGTATATATACTCTCACTAGTTGCTTCTATGTATTAAGTTGATCATGATAGTGCAACCTTTTGTTTCTCAGGTGATATCGGTCCAGAAGTAGTATAAGTCATTGAAATTTAATGAATGGATAATGCTTCCAACATGTGAACTTGAAGAATCATCCTTAGTTGTCCATGGAATTCTACTTAGATGGTTATGTTGTTTTGATAATTGAATTTAGGGCTGAGTCCTAAAGCTTTGATCTAGATTTGCTCGAGGTTTAGTGGAAGACAATCTTTCAGGATCCCTACACATCAAATTTCTTTTTGTTTTGCTCATGTGGTTCTGGGTTCAACTTCAGCTGTTCAATGTCTGAAAGCTTCGGAGATTCGAATCATGAATCCACTTAGCATTTACACTTCCATTTTCCACCTTTAGTTAATGTTTGACTGCTTTCACTAAGCCCCTTCTTTGCAGTTTCTTCTTTCAGAGCACACTTTGCATTTCCACTTTCATGTTCTACCTTTTGTTGGTGCGTTAGCCACTGCCGTTTATCATAAAATCTTGTTGCACATTCTCTTCTCCATGACGAGCTTTGACCTGCAAAAATTCTTGGAGATGTGCCGATCATATGTGTTCAAATTGCTATCAGTTCTGGTTCATAATGAGCTTATTTAAGTTTAATCATTTTCTACTTGGATTGGCTAATTCCAGAACTTGTTAGAATGCAGTCAAGATCAATTGAAAACATTCCAATTTCAGTTCAATCAAATCAAACCAAACCAAAGTTCGATTCTAGTTGAGGTCAACCTGTTTATTTGAAAGCTTAAAAAACTTTGGGATGCCATCAATGCTGGTGTTAAGCATTGTTTTGTAGTGGTTTTGCACTTCCTTGCTTGTGTTCTATTGCTTATTATATGATATCAATACATAATAGTATGTAGTTATACAGAATGAAATATACATTAAATATTTAAAAAAACTTTGAGCCATGCTTACTTGATAATATTTTGGTGGGGTGGGTTTGAAGGTTGTTTTATGATTGGTTGGGGCAACTGAATGGCTGTGAGAGGAGTTGAGTTTTTTCTTTTACTGTAATGCTCTGTAACCTTTTGTCATTCTTGTATTCTAGCATGAAGACCTTCATATTTGGTATTTATAAGTTTCACATTGGTCACTTATTGACAACATCTATTCACTGAAACTTTAGCTGTGCATCGCCTTTAATGAGCATCATGGGACATCCAAAGTTCCAATGGTCCCCAGAGAATAATCAATGAATGGAATAATTGCTTCCAGTACCTATAAATCTAAGCAATTTTAATCAGAGTTGATCTATGAATAATCTTTATTGTGTTTATCTAAAAGGTTTTGATCATATGGTGGTCATCTAAAAAATTGTAATCTCATTGATGTTCATGATGCATCCATTAAGATATTTGATAAACAATTAATTATAGCAATAAGAGATTCAAATTATACCTAGCATGCATGGGCGGCCCTCCCCCCTAAAAAAAAAATTCAGTTATGTATATCTTCTCTCTCTCTCTCTCTCTCTCTCTCTCTCTCTCTCCTAGCATATATCTCATGTTTAACAAATAGAATTTTTTAAGAAATATTTTTTCTATTCACATTTGCTTAGGTAATGAGGTACACCTTGCAAAAATGTTTTCAAATTATTTTAATTTTTAATAAAAATGTTTTTTTTAAACATTAGTTATTTCATGAATATAATGACCTTGACTTAAATTGTAGTGATTTTAGATTGAGATTTATTAGGTTAGTTTAATGATTATGAAATAAATTTTAATCATACATACAAAAATTCAATCATAAAAATATATAAATTTATAAAAGATTTATAAAAAAATTTATATATGCATCTCGCCCCCAAACGAAGACCACTTGGTGATGAGACGACAAATAAAACTATTTTAATTTAGCCTCCCCCTCTGAATAAAGTTTCTGGCTCCGCTGTTGCTAACATGTATGTTGGTGATGGTGGTTCTTATGTACGTGATGTAAGAGAGGGAGGTGGAGAACATTTCATGTGCAAATGATTAATTTTCCATTGTTTAGTGGCTATGGTATCTATGCACTGCTTCAAAATATGTGCAAGCTTTCATGTTTGAGTTAACTTTATACAAATACGCATTTAAAATATATATATAATTGTAATTTTTGCAGTCTTGCTATGCATGATGAGTCAACAACTAGGCGAAAGGTTGATGATAATGTTCAAGACGGGGCCATTCCCGCCTATCTTTTGGATCGTGATACCACTACCCGCGCAAAAGTAACCAAGCAATGCGAGAATATTAGTTGTTCTTGTTAATGTTCTCATTATGCAGATTATATGACCATATAACAATTAATATATGCTTGTGTTTTCTGCCCAGGTTTTGAGCAATACAATCAAGCAAAAGAGGAAGGAGAAAGCTGGCAAATGGGAAGTTCCATTGCCAAAAGTAAGTTTGTATTGGATATTATGTGTTTTCAACTTCTTTTCCCTTTATTTCTCCGATTCCCCAATTTTATATATTGGTATAAAATTAGTGAATGAAATTGATTGTTTTATGATGCACATTGTGGTGTTTGTATGTTTTGTGAGCATTCAATTGAGTACAATATTGTATGTTTTTTTTTAATCTCCATTTTAAATAGATTCCCTGATAATTTTTTACTTCTCAGGTAAGGCCTGTTGCTGAAGATGAAATGTTTAAAGTATTACGATCCGGCAAACGGAAAAGTAAATATTTCTAAATCTATTTTCATTTAACATATTTTTTTTTTCATGCAAATCATATATGCAGAATCAATGCTTCAAAGCCTGTTATGATCTTGAGTGAAAAGTTAAATTTTGGTTATATCGCTAGTAGAAGCAATAAGTTTTGTGTTGTTTCGTTTCTAAAATATGAATTTGAATTTTCACCGCTCTTACCATGTACAAAAGGAATGAATTTTGTGCCCATATGTTCTTATAAGACTATCACTTAAGCATTTAAAGAGACGATGCTAATATATTTTTTCTGCACGTGATACAGATTAATCATGAATAATTAAACAACTAATTGAGAACAAAAATAGGAAGGTTTGTTGTGCCCTTGGAGATTTGGTTGTTTTATTATAAATAGGACTGCTTAAGTGTTTTTTTAAATAAACATAGAAGATTTAAATGTTACATATAAAATTACCCTTTAATTGTAATATATTTATTATCTGTTTTTTTTTTTTAATTTGAAATATGGGATTTTATGGGACAACATTCCCAATGTCATACATGATAGAGAGATTATTCTGTGCGGACGCCGAATTCAGTTCACCATTCGGAGAACAATCAGAATGCTCCATGTCAACGGTATTGAGTTGTGGTACCGAGCAGTACTGAGCCGAGTACCGAGCAGGGGGCAAGGTGGCACATTCTGGTTGGTCTCTGGACGAAGTTCGGCGTCCGCACAAAATAATTTCACTACATGATAGGTAGCAATGAGGCAATCAAATTGTTTCCAATGGCCTGCTTAACGCTACCACCAAAACCTTGCATAATTCTACAATTTTTGTTCTTGCTAGCTCTTTGTCCGCGTTTTGCAAAACAAAGATGCTTCGTCTCTTGTACTTGTAATAACACGCTTGTTTTTCTATATACATATATACTTTTGGAAAATAAAAGCCTCTATCTGCACAGTGCACACATGTTCCCCCTTTCATCCTAATATTTGAATGATAGAATTTTAAAGAAGCCAAGAGTCGTTGGCATTGTTAAGTGTGTTTTTTACTGTTTTAAATCCTTAGTTAGATCAGGGCTTCGTTTGGACGGCTTTTTTACTGCTGCTTAAAGCGGCTTTTTAATACAAAATTTTTAATTTTTGTACTGGAAAGCTGTTTTAAGAAGCATGAAGAAAGCCGTCCCAAACGAAGCCAAAGTTTGGAAGATTTGCAAGGAAAACGACTTCTGTCTTTCTAAAAGGAAAAAAGGTTAATGTTTCAGAAGTTAAATGATGATTGGATTGAAGGAAAGTGAAAGTGAAATGAAATCCCAATAATTCCTATTCTGATTAAGAATCTTCAACCAATGATTTAAAGCTTTTCAATCTTTTTTTATTTAGTTCCCTTTTACTCAAATTCCTAGCATCCCAACGCAGCTTAATTGTTTTGAAGATTTTCTTATCATAACTTTCTATACTCAAGCCCCACAGTTGTTGTAACAAAACTAAAGGAACTTTTAAATCAATGATCATTATAGCTTTTCCTACGGCTTCAAAATACTATCTATCGAAATGAAATCCCCTTTAAATGTTAATTTAATCCTTTAAATTCTCGTGTTTCTTCATTATTAAACTTTAAATGCACCACCACTTATGAATTGCTAATCTAAACTTGGTACTTAGTGAGCAAAGACACAGACCCTAAAGTCCATATAGGCAAATTTTATTTGCTCGGTTGATTTCCAAATTTATTCTAAGCATTTTATGCTGTTAGTACTTGGATGTTTATGAGACTTTTCTTTAGCTATTTCACCTTGTATATCTAAAATAAATTTCAACCTGCTATGCAGCAAAGCAATGGAAGAGAATGGTCACCAAAGCCACCTTTGTCGGCCCTGGTTTCACAAGAAAGCCGCCGAAGTATGAGCGGTTTATTCGACCCAGTGGTCTGCGATTTACCAAAGCTCATGTGACCCACCCTGAACTGAAATGTACTTTTAATCTCGAAATAATTGGAGTGAAGAAAAATCCTAATGGTCCCATGTACACCTCATTGGGTGTCATGACCAAAGGAACTGTCATTGAGGTATATTCTATTAAACACCTAAATCTTTGTAGTTATATAACATTCTAATTTTTAGGCTTTATTTGGGACGGCTTTCCTATGGCTTTTTAATGCAATTTTTTAGTAAAAAAATTAATATTTGTACTAAAAAGCTGCTTTAAGAAGTAGTAAGAAAGCCGTCCCAAACGAAACCTTAGATCACATAAAAAAATACCATAAATACTTATCTAAGATTTTGTTTGGGACTACTTTCTTACTGCTTCTTAAAATAATTTTTTAATACAAAAATTTTAATTTTTATACTAGAAAGCTGTTTTAAGAAGTAGTAAGAAGCCATCCCAAATGAAGCCTAAGTTGAAATATATCTTTTTATGCAAATGTTATAGAAGTAAATGTAAAGATTAGCACACTTTGATGTTCTTTGATCGTTTATGACTGATAATTCAAAATAACCAGGTGAATGTGAGCGAGCTTGGACTAGTCACTCCTGCAGGCAAAGTAGTGTGGGGTAAGCTCTCCATTCCCTTTCATTTTTTATTTTCTTTTGATGTTCTGTTCAAGCACGGGCGAAATCAGCCTTAATTTTCAGGGGAGGCAAACTTATAAGTAAAAGTGTAGAGATTTTATTTATTTTTTTCATAAATATCTTTACAACCAAAATTTGTTCCGGGGACGCTGCCCCTCGACCCCTATTTGTTCATATCCTTGATTGTTGTACGCTTTAGAGATATGTCGATGCCCCCTTGTGTGATTCGATCTGCCTGGTCAGGTCACAGGGTCAACGGGGGGGGGGCGCCACTCTTGTGGAGGTTTCCAAGGCAGCGCCACTGAAACAAGTTTTTTTGTAAGGATATTTTTGGATTTTTTTTAATTATTTTTCTTTGTTTTTGGTTTATCGTTTCTTACTGCTTCTTAAAACAGCTTTAATTTTTATACCAGAAAGTTGTTTTAAGAAGCAGTAAGAAGCCGTCCCAAATGAAGCCTAAGTTGAAATATATCTTTTTATGCAAATGTTATAGAAGTAAATGTAAAGATTATCACACTTTGATGTTCTATGATTGTTTTTGACTGATAATTCAAATTAACCAGGTGAATGTGAGCGAGCTTGGACTAGTCACTCCTGCAGGGAAAGTAGTGTGGGGTAAGCTCTCCTTCCCCTTCCATTTCTTCTTTTCCTCTGATGTTCTGTTCAAGTGAGTGAAATTTTGGTTGATCATTGCAAAGGATTAGAGAGATTAATCTGCAATTTATCTAACGACCAATCTATCGACCAACTTATCTCGTTCTGTACTTTGATAAACTTAAACTTCTGAGCTGATTTCCTGCATCCAATGCAGGTAAATATGCACAAGTGACCAATAATCCAGAGAATGATGGTTGCATCAATGCTGTTCTTCTTGTCTGAACCATTTGCTCCCTTTCATTAGCAAATTTGGTGAGAGAAATAGTTTTGAACTCCTAACTCAACATTATTCATTTCAGTTTACTTTTTTTAAGTCTAATACAGTTTTGATGCTTAGTTCTCTCTTGCAATGGAAATGTGGAATGAGTTTTTAGTTATCTCTTCAGCTATCTCTTCTTTTGTTCAATCTGCTAAAGATTTGGTAACATAAATGATTAGTAGTTTGAGTTGTGGGCCTTTTTTTGGTGTTTATTTTATCTGTATATATATATATATGTGGGGTTATGGATGTAAATAAAAAAAGTTTAAGGGTGTGATATGAAAAAATATAAAAAATTTATGGTATGTATGCAAATTCTAAGATGTGTTAAATGTATATCATGTTCATCTTAAAATAAATTAATTATTTTTAATAATTTGTTAAAGCTAATGTTGGATTGAATTTCTCTAATGTTGATCATAATTTGATGTTTTTCTTTCTAAAATAGATATTGTGAATCAATTTAAAATAAAGGTTTTATTTATTTTTTATTTATCCATCATTTGTTAAGTATATGAGCTATAAATATAATTTAATGGATAAATATGTACTCTTGAAAGTAATGAGTGAAGTAAATGAGAGAGAGAGAGAGAGAGATTTGCTCATGAAAAGGCCTAAGATTTATTAGTTAAATGAGAAGGTTGTTTTTCTAAAATCATAAATTAGAGCTGCAAAATTTGTAATTGTTGCTCATAATAAAAAAAAAACTATTTATTTGCAGTCGGATATTGATATATTTGACAATATTTTAAAGTAATTCAACATAATTACAAAATTGTTCTAAAATCCTCATAAGGTTGAAAAATATAAATAAATTCTTTTAATTAATTAATTAATTAATGAAATAATCAACTAAAATTTTATTTGACTTTGCATATTAAGTTTTTAACTCAAAAAGTTTCTCTCACATATGTTTGAAGCTAATTTTCATCAATTCTCAATATTAGTTATGGAATAATCATATCTTAATCAATCCATAATATAATCCTTCCATTATTGTTTTTTAAGTTTGTAGATTTGTGAGTATTGTTGAGCTCGGCTTGACAAATGGCTTATAAGCCGAGTTTAATGAGCTAACGAGCCAAGTATGAAGCAGCCTCGACTCATTAGGTTGCGTGCTAACTTGTTTAACAAATATAAATAAAAAATACACAAATAATATATTAGAATATATAAGTTCAAGAATAAAGTCATTAAAATATTAAAAAAATTAGGTCTCATTTCATTATAACAAATGTTTTTTTTTAATATTATTTATATTCTAATTTTTCATTTATTGTGATTTTATTATAATATTTGTCTGAATCATGATAATTTTCTTTTTTATTATAAAAAATCGACTTATGAACCAACTCAAATTCGTAAAATTAAGCTCGATTTTTTGCTTGAATTTGCCCGTCCTTCGGTCCGGAGCCGCTATACGGAGCAGTACCAAACTACGGTATTGAGCAATACGGAGCCACGATACTGAGCGAAGGCTGACATGACGTATTCTGGTTGGTCTCTTGACGACATTCGAGGTCCGCATAGAAAAATTAATCCCATAGAGGAGGTTCTATAATAAATTATAGATGTGAAAAATTCAATAATACGATAATCATTGTGGCATCAACTTTGAATGCTAGAAAAATAAATAATTTTAAGAAAATACAAATTAGTCTAATAATAGTTTGTTAGGAAATGGCAGTGATGACAAATTATGCAATATAATAAATTTACATAAATAAAAATATTATAATATATTAATTTCAAATAATTTAATAAATTTATGTTAGGATAAATGGATAATTTTATTTTTACAAATCTAACCCCTATTTTCTTCATAGCTCTACCGCATTACTTCTGCTCTCCCTTCTTCTGCGGCGCTCTTCGCTCTTCCAATCCGATCTGAGGGAGAGATCAGTTAGAATATCGGATGGCTTCTGCCTCGTCGGAATTGGAAGAAGAGTGATTCTCGTTCGCTTCCGCGGCGAAATTTGCTATGATGGTCTCTCCGGCGACGGCGACGCCGCAATCGCAGAAGCAGCAGCTGACGGGCCACCTTCAGACTCAGCCGTCGGATAATGATCGGAGTAGTAGTGAGATTAGGGCCGTGGATTGCAATCTCGCGTCCCTTTGTGAACACATTCAAATGGAGGGTTTTAACTCCGGTGCATTCTCTGACATCATGGTCCAGGCCATGGGTTCCACCTATCACCTCCATCGCCTGATTCTTTCCCGAAGCTCCTACTTTAGGTTATCCACGTTTCCTCAATTTCATGGTGGTTTGGATCGAGTTTATTGGGAGAGATGAGGTTTTAGTTGTTGACCGTTTTTTTAATTTCTTGGCTGTATCTGATTTTTGGTTTGATTCTATCTAAATTTTCGTGATTCCATGTTTTTTCCTTTCAATATGCGCCGTTTCCCTTTATGTCTTAGAAGTGGACTGAATTATATACTTCCGGATGTTTCATTTCTTGTTTCTGCAAATTTCCGATTCCCTGATCTAATGTATAAAGCCGATCCTTCCCTAACCAAGCGTGGCCGCAATGCCAAAGAACACAAAAATAGAGGCATTTTCCCTTCACTTTTAAGATTGAAGTCTTCGTTCTTGGATTTTGAGTTATGTGTGAAACTATTCGCATTGCTCTGATCTACTCTCCCATTCAAACTCTGTTGAGCGGACCATATTGCTCTCATTAGTAAATTCATTTGAAATTGAAATACTTGACTTAATTGTTTGAATTCTCTGGTAGGAACATGCTTCATGGTCCATGGAAGGAGGCAGCTCTTCCAAATTTGGTTTTGCAGATCGATGACCCTAATGTTAACTCTGAGGCAATTACGATTGCCTTTGCATACTTATATGGGCACCATCCAAAGCTTAATGACGATAATGCATTTAGAGTTCTTGCCTCTGCTTCTTTTCTTGACCTTCAGGTCAGTCGATTACCCGCTTGAAAGCTCCTATTAATCTTTCATTTGCATTTTAAGAATTTGTTCACATGATATCTCAACTTACAGGATTTGTGTGCAATATGCACCGATTTCATTATTTCCGAGTTGTGGACCTCGAACTTCTTGGCATATCAGGTCAGATCTAGCCATTTTGAACAGTTCATGGACACTGAACTTTCATGCTGATACATAAAACTTCACTATTGCATGATCTTAAATCGCACATAGTTCTTTTGGATTAGGTTTTTGCAGAGAGTCAAGATTATGGGATACACGGAGAACGTGTCAGAAATGCATGTTGGGGGTACCTTTGTCAAAGTGCGACCATGGAATTGAGAGAAGTAAGGAATATATTCTTCTATTATGTTCTCAATGCATTTATATTTACATTTGAGTACTTTTTTTATCTAATTTGCTGCATCTTGATGTTCTGGTTTATTTGTTTTACCACATAGGATGCATAACTTAACCACAGATGTTAAGATATTCTGTGTTTTTTTTGTCCTCAGACTCATTTTGTTCTAGAAGAGATGCTAGTAAAACTTGTTATTTACTATAAAGTAAAATACTCATATTGCAAAAATCGGTTTTTTTCAATTCAACTGATCTCAATAGGTTAATGATATTTAGTAAGAAAGAAGTTTGGTTAAGCAACTAAAAAGGTTTTTGAACTTGATATCATTGGTTGCTATATGGCGGAGTTGGCTAGGATGTCACCTGCAAATGGATTTTCAGCTGATAACAGCAGAAACTCTTTCTTACGAAGGAAGATAATATTTTTTCTGAATTATAATTCTTTTCTGATAGTCATTTCTAGAAGCTTTTGAAGTTTATCTTTTTTGCTTGTGCTAGCTTTACTGAAATAGTAGAAGTGTTACCATCATCTATAGGTGCTTCCAAAACTTTCTTCTCAAACTTTAAATGCTCTGCTTACATCTGATGAACTCTGGGTGCCTAATGAGGAGAAAAGGTAAGCAACTTGCTCTTGAAAATACAACTCAATTGTTTTGACTTTCTGTTTTAGCTCTATTGAAGTTGTTAATCCTATAATGTTGTTTCATCTTAAGGTTTGAACTAGCTTTGTTCACATTAATTGCAAAGGGCACCCTTTCTGATGCAATCAGTTCTGAACAAGAAAGTCCAGATTCTGAACTTGAAATAAACCATACTGTTCGTGATTTACTAAAGGAGAATAATGTCACTTATAACACTCGTGGTAAACAGATTGTGGATTTAGGAATGAAACAAATGAGCATACCGGCTAACTTGGACGGACATAAGGCTGCTCAGAATATTCTGGTTGACCTTGCGGACTGCGTGGTTGATTGCCATGCTGATGTTCCTTATTCTCAGCCTATACAAGTGCGACCAGCCATGGTTCCTCATGCATTGTCTGATCCTAGATATTCCATCAAGCTGCAGCAATCATCTACTGACTCCAATTTGAACAGAGAATCTTGTTCTTATGTTGAAATTCGGAATTGTAATGAAGCAAACAAAATGTCCAGTAGTCAGTTTGCCATGGAAGGGCCATCAGGAGATAGTTCTTGTTACCAAATTAATAATAGTATCTGGTCTTCTGTTGATCATCAGAGTAAGTTCTCTGTCTCCCCTTGTAATAATGGAGCAAGTCCCAGTGATTGGGGAAGAAGCAATTTACCTTCATTATGGGGTGGCAGGACGGTAGGTAGAAGGCAAGTTAAAAGTTCCAAGGGTAACTGTGGGGTGCAAAGTGAAGAGTATGATGCATTTCATAATATTTTTGAAGGAGGCTCACTTTTGTATTGCAATATGTCCTTTGAGGCACTGTTAAATGTTCGAAAACAACTGGAGGAATTGGGATTTCCCTGTAGAGCTGTGAATGATGGCCTTTGGCTCCAGGTCAGTGTTTTAACACTTTAAACAAATATGGCTATTCTTTGTGTATTATTCACTATATTTGAAAGTCAAATTTAATTAACTCATTGACGCAGATGCTTCTTTGTAAAAGGGTGCAAGAGATAGCAGCTGATAACAGCAAAAATTGCTGCCTTACAAGCAATTTTTGTGCTTGTAGACAGTCGTATGAATACTCACATGGAGGTACTGCAACTGGTTATTATAGGCAAGAGCATGATAGGAGCAATTCTTCCGGCAGTATTGGGAATGTCTACATAGCAGACTCTCAAGCTGAAGGCCATGGCATTTCTAGTCCTGTACGGGTCCATGTAAGGGGTCCCATTGATGGTCTTGCTGGCATAGGGAGAGGAGCAACTTACTCCCCTGGATCTGCATGGCCTCCCACTCGATACGTCTTTTCTCGTGTGCCTTTTGGACTCGGCCACAGGAATTGTCAGCAGTCACTAGCCAATGATGATTCAGAAGCTAGAGTTGATCTTAGCGGCGATATATCAGGGGATGGCTTGACAGCTCTGGTTAGTCTTAGCCAAGGGAGTAATTCTGTTAATGTACATACTGAACAGACTGAAAGAGTATATGAGGCAGACTTACAGGGCAGGTATGCTGGAACTGCTTCTCACACAAGTTCCAATGTGCTCCCAGTTCAGATGGTAGGATCAGAGGAGCATGCTCTTGCCATAGATTGTGAAAGTTCTGATGGTTCTATATCACTTGATCACAAAACACCACTCCGTGATTTTCCTCCATTTCGCTTCGGGTAGAGTTCCTTCCATCCAGCATTTTATGCTTTGAATATATGTGTTTTCTAATAGTGATAGAACTGTGTTCACGAACCATAGATTCTTTACAGATTTCGTAAGAATTATCATATATTTCTCAAATTCATCTACTTTATGCCATTATTATTACCATGGGTGGCACAAATGGTCTTTATGTTATTTTGTGGAAGAATAAAGAAGTCCTTTGGGAACCAATTGATTAATGTCATTACATTGTGCTTCCTATTCTTTTCACTCTAAAAAGATTTACAAAATAAGTTTAACTGTGTATGCTTTGTCCAGCACCAACGATTCAGTGTCTACAAGGAAGATTTATTGCCTTGTAGTGGGTTAATCTAATTATGAATATATTCAACTAAAACTTTTTTTTTTAACACGCAATTCTTATCATTTTCCCAAAAAAGGTTATAAAAGGAAGGAGGCTACCAGTCCTCTTTATGAAGTGAAACTATGTAAGTAGATTGCTTGAAAAACAAAACACATTTAACTATCACTACTATGTTCTGTGACTTTTGCTTTGATAATCTACTGTTCTAATGAATCATACAAGGAAACTTATATTATTTCGATTACAAGGTACTAAAGTTTCTCAGTGCACATAGTTAAAAAATAGGGAGTTTATGGGAAAATCACTTCCAAGTTCCAACTTATCTACTGTTCAGAAGGACAATTGATCTCTCCAGTGCTTTATGCATATGGAGATTTGATCCTCATTTAACTAATTATGGAAAATTCTATGCTTTCTCCATAGTTTCTCCTGCATTGAACCTATTCTTTGTTATTTGATGATTTCCCTTTTGAAAGAGACTTCAATGTGTCATTCAGTGTTTAATGCAAGTAGTTGTATTTTGTGGGTGTGACCATTTTTTGTGACTTGAACATAAATTTTGACAGAGAATGATGGTTCTTCTTCTATGTCGACAAAACTCTCTCTCTTTCTCTCCCTTTCTCTTCCCTCTGCAAAATCTCTCCTTTGGATCATGACTAGCTCCTAAGTACGGCAAGCCCAATAACCATGTAAATACCTACTCTTTATTTTGCTTGTTCGTCGTCTCTGATCTTATCAAGTCCTGGGAATTAGTCCTTCAAATTACTAGCTTGTAAAGCTCTAGACCTTGCTCTTCCAGTAAACTGTCATCATAGTATTTTTTTTCTTCGGCTTGCTGCCATATCTACTTTGTTTTCTGACTAAAACTGCACCTTTGACCTCCATTTTAGATCACATTGCCTCACCCTCATGCTAGAGTTTACAATCATTGCTAGTCCTCAACGTCTTGAGCTTCACACACACTCTCTCTCTATCAACTTCACTAGATTCACTCATTATAGATTTTTTGCCAATATAAGGGCTGGCTTCTCTGTGATTCATTGCAGATGACAGTTTCTACTACTGCTACTAAACCAGTTGTGTGCCAGGGCCTCACCCCCCTTAACTTGCCAAATTGGGCTATAAATGGAGTGATTGAAACTCTTGTTCACTCACGGGGCTATACTCAAACATCTCATTTTCTGAGAACTCTCTAGAAAAAGGCCTATTTCAAATGAATGTTTTTGTATTTCAAGCCAGATGAGCTATCCTTTTTTTGCTCGAGCTCAGACACTTTGACTCATTTATGGTCTAGTTGTTCTTATAGCTTGTTAGAAATATCAGATGGAGACTCGACACCTTAAAGATGGACTCGATCGCCTGCATCACTTTATAAAAAAAATTCTTTGTGGTGGTGCGATCATTCCCTTGTCGACTTAAAACATATAGGTGTTCCAATTGATCCTTAATACTCTCTCTGTTCTTGTCTTCCAATATTTTTCTCTCCAGTAGCTCTATTATGATTTACCAGTAAAAATGTCCTATGATGCAACCAAAATTTTTAAGGACTACTGAGATTGCATAGAAACTTGATGTCTTCCTTTCAAAACAACTTTAACAAACACAAACTCAACTAAAATGAAATAAAACAAAGCAACACCTTACAACTTTTATATTAGAACAATCAACACATACAACTTACACGACAAACAATATCTTATAACATAAAAACACCTGAAAAGCTTTTCATTGATTGAGAAGAAAGATACAAATGAGGTGGAAACTTGTTGAGAGAAGAAATAGATAAGAAGCCCGAGACGAAGTCATAGAGGGGAAGGGGATAGAAGCTAGCTCGCAAGATAGAGAAAACCCGCAGGTTTCTTTCCAAAAATCTTCACATAACTCTACTTAAAACAACCACAAACAGCCCTAATATATAGGTGAAGAAAGGGAACTAAACAGCCAAACAACCTCCCATTCAAACCAATAAGAAAAAGGGAGGCAAAAGACCAAAAGACAGCCGCTGGAGCAGCACACGAAGGGGCATGCAGAACAGCCAACGAACAAACAGGCGCCAGGGGAAGAACCGGGACACCCAAGCAGGGAACCGAACAGCCAAAGAGGAACCGAGAAAGCCGGTACAGAACCGAACAGCCCAGCAAGGAAATCTGGGGAGGCATTGCTTGCATCATCCTAGTAGGAATTTATAGCTTAGCTCTATATGTTGATTTGTTGCGGTTGTGATTCGAGGACTCTCAATCGATTCCGTAACGTTAACCTGTGATGTTTTTCCAATAATTGCTAATTTTTCTTCATGCAGAATGAGATCTAACTAATAATATAAATGATACTTTTGTTCTATTTTAATACAAGGGTGGAGTTTGAAGATGTCCATAGGCTTAGTGATGGTCTGGTGAAGCATTCTCCTGAAATTTTCTATGCTGGATCACTGTGGAAGGTCTATAATCTTTTTTTTTTCCTTTTTTTTTTAAAAGCATTTATCATGAATAAGCAGCAATTTATCTTAATATCTGGCTTCTTTACAGGTCAGTATTCAAGCTTTCAATGATGAAGATCTTCAAGGGCGTCGTACTTTAGGTATTTCATCCTAATCGTATACTTCTTATGTTTATATTAATCATCAAAATAATGACTGAACCAATTTAAGCTCTGTAAAACGTATTTTCTTCAGGATTATTTCTTCATAGACGTAAGGCAGAGGTGGCAGATTCCCTCAGAAAGGTAAGGGGCTGTTTGACTACAAGTAGGATTTAATCAAGTAAGATTTAATGAATCCTGTAATTCCAATTTTAGTAAATTTTTGGAGGATTACATGTCAAATCTTCCTAACTATTGATAAATTGTTTGCTTCAGAGTTTAAAATTTATGATATGATAATTCTTCAATCATTTAAATTTTTTGAATGATGGTATTCAACAGATCATGGAAACTATTTAACAATTTGTTTCATAATTCAAAGTTTATAAGATGAGAATTCCTTAAATTCTTTAAATCCTGTGAATTGTAGGGTTTAACCAATCATGGATTAAATCAATAACATGGTTGAAATAAGATTTATCAAAGTGATAGGAAATACTTGAATATTTCAAGTAAACCCTAACAAGAATAGGGAAAATTAACAATAGAATCACGCAAAATCTGGTGGAAAACTCTTCAAATTATAATTGCATTGCAAAAATGAGAAGTTGAGAACTAACCGAAACAACAAAAACAACGATACCATTGATCCTCAATTCGAGAGGAGGATCGTCTCTCCCAATCTCTACATGAATCTAGAGCCCAAGTCACCAAGAAAATCCTCCCAAGAACACAATAATCAAAACATAACCTTAACCCTAATCTCCCTCCCATACTTAAGACATACAATTAAACAATAAGACAAAAAGGCCTAAAAGCCCTTGCCGCCCCCTCCTTTGACTCCAAATTTGAATTTAAAATCAAGGGGACCACACCCCATCTCTCTCTCTCTCTCTCTCCCTCCCTCTTGCCGCTGCCCCTCTTGTTGTAGACGTGAACCGGGACCGGTCCACTAGGGGCCTGTCTAACACAAAAGCACGAGAATTTAAAGCCCACCAAAATCCCATTTGGCAGGATTTAAGCTAAATATAACATAAATCCTGCCTTCTATAGGCTACTAAACTGCCCCAATGTGTTTGTTACGCAAGCTTCGTTTGGGACGACTTTCTTTCTACTTCTTAAAGCATCTTTCCAGTACAAAATTTTTTAATTTTGTACTAAAAAACTGGTTTAAAAGCAGAAAGAAAGTTGTCCCAACAAAGCCTCAATCATAACATATCAACAATATCCAGAATGTCCTCAACCTTTTCTTCTCAGGTCCATATGTATGTCGATCCCCGCGAAAAGGTGACGGCTCGTTATCAGGTATTTCGTCGAACAATTTTTGTCGAAGAAAACATAAGAAAACCGCTTAACTGAAATATAATACTGTCTATGATTCACAGTTGATTTGTCCATCAAAGAGAGAAGTCATGGTGTTTGGGAGCTTTAAGCAGGCAGGAACACTGCTGCCCAAAGCTCCAAAAGGCTGGGGCTGGAGAACTGCACTGTTGTTCGATGAACTTGGTGATCTGCTCCAGCGAGGAGCTCTTAGAGTTTCTGCTGTTGTGCAGCTTGTTTGATGCAGATAAGGAGGTATGAATTAATGTATCATAATTTGATTTTTTTTTTTTTCATGAATTATTGGTATATTTTAGTAACAGAAACCTCAAACCTGCTGCAACTTATTTAGATTGAATAAGGGGAAGGGGAATTTTTTTTTTCTTGTCCATGAACAGAGATGTTTTCCAGGTGCTTCTGTTGATATTTTGTAAATTTGTTTGAATCTATTGTTAAGGAAATCAACCAAAATAATGCCTACTTGTTTTGATTTGTTCATTTTTTTGTCTTCAGATGGTTTTCTATATTTTTCTGCCTGATTTAAGCTTCTTTTGTGACGGCTTTCTTACTGTTTTTTAAAATAGCTTCTTAATACAAAAATTAAAATTTTTTGACTAGGAAGCTGCTTTAAGAAGCAGAAAGAAAGCTGTCCCAAATGAAATCTTAGGCTTCGTTTGGGACGGCTTTTTTATTGCTTTCTAAAATGGAGTTTTAGTACAAAAATAAAAAAATTTGTACTAAAACTCCGTTTTAAAAAGCAATAAAAAAGCCGTCCCAAATAAACCCTTAGACTTCGTTCAGCTTTCTTACTATTTTTAAAGCAAATTTTTAGTGCACGAATTTCTAATTAAAAAAATTCTGTTAAATAAAAGAATAAATATCTGTTTTGAAGTCATTAAATTTATTTTGAAATTAATATAACATATAGTATTATTTAACAATTTTTTATTGCACGCATTAAAATTTGATTCGAAGTCTTGCTTTTGAAAATTGGACAGAGATTGAATCGGAAGAAAATAAAATATTCAGGATTAAAAAAATAAATTGGGGTTGAACTGTAAAATAATAAATGTTTAAATTATTTAAATAATATGAACTTTAAATAATGATAAATTTATTAAAAAAAATAAAAAAAAATATTTATGAGATATAAACATCTTCAACTAAATCAAATAAATTTATAAAATAATGAACTAATTATCAAAAAGTAATGCAAATTTTCATGAATTTCTTTTTCATCTTATTTTATTTTTTATGTATTATAAATTCACCTAATTTTGATTGATTATTTTTTCACCGCAAGTCAATTGCGTTACTGGCTACTGCCAACCGCCATCACTGGCTGCCGCCGCTACCACTCACTCGAATATTTTTTAGAGAATCATAAAGCCAAGCAATATTTTTTAGAATCATGTTGGGAGGAGAGGCCTATGCTGAAGTTCATATCATAGCATCTTATAAATTTACTAATTCCATAAGCAATTATTTAAAAATATATCAATTTATTATTTGTATGTTACTTTTTCCAATTTAATTAATTATAAATGTATCCTAAGAAAATATGAAAAAATATATATTTAAAATTAGTGAAAAATATCTTTTTTTCTTTTAATTTAAATTATATATTATATTAGGCTTTTTAGAATTATTGTAATTGTAAATTATTTAACTAAGAGTAGTATTTGAAGCATGTGGAAGTACAAAAATATAAAATCATAAAGAAAAAAAAGATTAAATTTATTGAATATTTATTCAATGTATGAATTATTTTAATAAATTTAAAAAGTAATACTCTAAAAAAACTGAATGTTATTAATTTAAATCAAAATTAATATTTTAAATAGTTTAACATACTTCTATTTTTTTAAAATTAAAATTAAAAAAATGAT